GAAGACCTCTCATTTGCAAACACGTACATCTGTTCCACCTCCAAACCCCCTCCCTCCCACTGCTGTCACTTACTCCATTAGCTCGAACCCCTGTCCCTGCCTGCCTTCCCAACGGGGGGGTGCCAATTTTCTATATCATTCACCCTCCAAATGCCCTCCTGTTTCCACTTGCCCTCACCCCCAAGATCCCTGAGACTCACACAGAGAGGCCATCTCCTTGGGGAGGTCAGGCTGGCCCAGACCCCGGAAGCTAGGGCTCAGCATCTCGAAAGGTGGAGACCCCCTGAGTGCCCCTGGGAAGGCGAAGGGGAAGCCAGCCCCTGGGTAGCCAGATCCAGGCCCCAGGGCACCAGCCGCAAAAAGTCGCTCCTTATTGGTGGCCATGGCAGCTGCGGTGTGGGAGGCTGAATCCCCTGGGGTCTGCAGTGGGCGGGGGAGGTCTTCAGCCACAGCCCCCGCCCATGCCCACTGCCCTGGCCTGGGAGGCTCCGTGCCCGCCCTTCCTGGCCTGCCCACTGGGTCTCCAAGAGTCCTAGGGAGAAAGAGAGGAAAAGGAGAGATGAGAGAATGACCACTCTGAGGTTCCAAGCCCCATGACCCTCCTCAGTTGGAGTCTTCCTCCGTGCTGCTAGGGTTTGTCCTGCCCTGGCTCAGGGCATCCACCACACGGTAGAGGAGGCAGGGCAGGTGCTTATGCAAATTCGGAGGAATTCTCCAGGGAAGGGTAAACTGAGTTTCCAAGGTGAATGATGCTCTGAGGACTCCTGGCAGAGAGGATTCCTAAGCTGAGAAGTCACCATTAAGCACCACAACCGGGCTAGACACTTGAGTGAACCCTCACATCAATCCTGTGAAGTAGTAATTGTGATGCCCATTTCACAGAGGTGGAGGCTGAGGTTCATTGACCGGCTTAAAGTCACATGGCTGTAAGTGGTGGAGCCAGGATTCAAACTCTCTACCACCCTGGAGCAAGCAAACATACCTCTGTTGTAGCTTTGGGGCCCTACACCTCTCTGGAGAGAATAGTGCAAGGTTAGCAAAACGTTCTGGAGCCAGACAACCTGAACTGATCCTCACTGCTGGCTAGCTCTGGGACCTTAGGCATGCTACCTAATTTCTCTGTGCCTCAGTTTCCTCATTTGTCCATTGGGAATAATAATAGGGCCCATTTCATACGGTAGTTGGAGAACTAGACAATGTCACATATGTAAAGTGTTTAGAATAATGGAGGGCACATATGAAATGCTATATAGGGGTCTCATATTATTTTTCTTTGTACCTTCTCTTCCTCCATACCTCTCTTTGAATTAGCATTTCCTTTTTTCTCTATCTTCCTCAATACTCCCTCTTCCAGGTTCCCCTCCCAATTCTTTCTCTGTCTCCAATTATCCCTCCCTCCGTAACCTCTCTTGCTCCCTGTCCTTCAAATCCACAGATGTGTGCCAGGTGTGATGTCAGGGAGCTCCTCACCTTGTCCTCAGCTTACTTTGCTTCTCCATCTCCTTTTCTCTCTCTTCTCTGGGCCCTCTGCTTCTAGAAAGCCCTCCCTGCATCCTCCCCTCCCTCAAACGTAGCCTGCCCCCTGAGATTTTTAACCAGAGCCCCTGGAAGGGGGAGGGGAAAGAGGGAGAGAGGAAATGGGAATCCTAGGGCCAGGCAGGTGGTTCCTCTCCTGACGCTCTGACAAGGGAAAGCTTGACTTTCCCAGGAGTCCCAGAAGCACCCACCTCTCTAAGGAGTTAGGCGCTAGGGAAGGAGAGTCACCCCGGCCTGGGTACCTCCGCTACCAGCCAGAACCATACTGGACTGAGATGAAGAAGGGTGGAGAAGGACCAAGAGAGAGTGGAACACATAGAGACCACAGGATGGGCAGGCCCAGAGGTAGGTGACCGGTATCTCTGCCTCTCTTTCCATCAATGTTTGCTTCTAGGATCAATAGCTCTCCGTTTTTGTACCTCTGCTTGCTTTCTTTCTTTCTTTTCTATCTCTCATCTACCTTGGCCTTCAAGCTCCTGAGCGTAAACTGTCACGGAGGTTACAGGAACTCAGACCCCAACACCACTTCCCTTCACTCAGTCGCGATGCATGAAGCAGCTCCTGCCCCTCACTAAGCACCCCCATATCCCAGGCACGCTCGGACTCTTGAGCCCAGTGTCTCCTCAGGCCCTAAAGGTTTGAGCTCCGAGCCCCCTGAGTCCCTCTCCTTTTCCTCCCTACTCCCTGAAGTCCTCATCCCTGGTTAAGCCCTGGTGGAGCCAGGAGTCCGGGCCCCTGAGGCCCCTGGGCCATAGCTCAACAGGCTGGGCCACATTCCAGGTGGATTAACCCCTCCAGTGCCAAGGGTGAGAAGCTCCTGGAGGTGTACCCCACCCCCCATCTTTCCCAGACTGGCTGAGACTGGGAACTGGCCCTGTGATCCAGAACTCATTGTCTCTGCTTCTCATCTCCAGGTGGGAAATAGAGACCTGAGGGTGGGGCAGGAGGACTGCGGGGGAGAGGGGCGTGTTTCCCAGAGAGGGATGCTCAGACTCCTGGTCCTTACTGAAGAATGGAGCTGTAAATGAGCAAAGGACAGCCCCAGTCTCCCTGGCCTTCCTCCTATTTGGCCTCAGAGAAGGGACTTGAGAGTTGAGTGAAGAGAGGAAGGAGACAGATTCATCCCATTTCTGAACCTTGGTTTCTCTGCCTTGGCTGAGAAGGAAAGGGGAGGGTCTTAAGTCCGGGGTGGAGGAAAGGACCAAGCAATTGAAGACAGTGGTACAGGCAGTAAAAGGAAAACTATGGACTCGGATGCCTTGGTTCTTTGGGGGACCTGTAGAAGGCAGAGAACACTCCTCTCCTCCCAAGATGCCACCTCAGACAGAGGGGGGGCTGACTAGGGGAAAGGGGCCCTTACAAAGCTGCTTCTCTTAGAGCTGAGGTGGAGTTGAGGGGAGGGCATGGATGAAGGGGGCTGCCGGATGGAGGGGGGGCGTCTCCTTGCCGTCCTGCCCGCTCCAGAGCCTGGAACAAAGCTGCTCTTGTCGGCTGCTCTCCACCCGCTGCCCCCCTCCCCTCTGTATAAACACGACCACCTTTTTCCATGACCCCATCCCCAGCCTGGGCGGAGAACCCAGGCATCCTCTGCTCTAGCCTGGGCCCCCAGCCTGCTCCCCAGGAGGCAGCGGTGGCCCTGGTTTCCCGGGCCTTGTGCCACCCTTGGGGGAGTCCAGACCCTTGAGTCTCCACCTCTCATCCCCAGGTGCCCTCCCTCCACCCCACTGGCCCCAGGGAGGGGCAGTGCCCAGGAGGCAGGCAGGCAGGCAATGCCAGTGGAATGTGTGTGGGCATTGGAGGGCACGGGCAGGGTGGGGCAGAGGGGGGAACTGGAGGTGCCAGTTAGGTGGCTTTCTGAGCCAGGGGTGGGGGTGTGCCGGGGTGGGGGTGTGCCCTGTGCTGCCTACCAGGTTGTAAGCCACAGCATGTGTGCATGCGCATGAGTGTGTGTGTCTATTTGGGATACTCAAGCTCTGGGCACCCTGCACTCACTGCCCTCCACCCGCTCCCCTGTCCTCTCCTTGCCTCAAGGATGTGGGACACTGCCTGTGGTCCTCAACCCCAACTCAGCATCTGTGGAGTGACAGAAAGGGTGGGAGCCTCAGACTTGAGGACTGAGATTGCAGCTGCCCTGGACGTGGGCTCCAAAGGGCATAGTTATCTTAGCCTCTTAGCCTGCAGACCTCTCCTCAGGCTCAACTGCCCCCTTACCCCTGTGCATTCTGACCCTTTGGCCACCTGCAGTGATCCCCTCCTACATACTGGGTCAGGTTGAGGGGACTGGGCTGTAACTGCTCAAGACAGAGAAGCATGTCGGTGGGACTCTGGGACTAGGACTCCTGGGTCCCTGCCGCAGTCCTCCTGCTCTTCCCTTGTTCAATTGGGGCTCCCCTCAAGAATACTCCCGAAGAGCCCCCTACCTTGGCTGGAGGGAGCCAAGACTCACACCATGGCTGGGGATGTGAGAGCGGGAATCCTGAACTGTGCTCCCAGGGAACGTCACTGACCCCTGTCGTATCCACTTGTCTCTCCACACTCCTAGACCCCGAGGGCCAGGATCCCTTGCCTCCGGACCTTTTCCTTGCCCTTCTGATGACCAAGCTGTGCTTTTCCGCTGGGGAAGGAGGAACCTGGACCAGTTTGGACCAAAAATCCACCCCACAGACTCACCAGGGGAAGCCTGTGGGAGGGCAGGCGGTGGCCTTTCCCCGCGGAAGGGGACCCTGTCTTCCCTCTCTCTAAGCGCCAAAGCAGGATAGAAGCCCCCCCCCCCCGCCCCCCGCGGCCGAAGCCTCCTCCCCAAATGCTCTCCCCCACTACTCACCAAACTGAAGGGTCCATAAAGCCCAGCCCAGCCCCCAGCCCCAGCTTTCTAAAATCCCCCCCGTTCCCTTCCCACATCAGGGCTGACCCCCAAGTCGGGGCAGAAAGCCCCCCTCAAACCCTGAGCACAGCGTGGCCAGTCCTTGGAGGGACCGAGCCAGTGGCTGGTCGGCACGCCCGCCCCCAGCCCACCTCACCGGAGGACCCAGGCGTCCGCGGGCGGGCAGGCGGGCGAGCCTGCTTCCCCGCCTGACTCACCTGGAGGGGGAGGGAGGGGAAAGGGAGGCCGCGGAGCCCCGAGGTCCCGGCGTCGGGCGGTCGCGGGGATGGAGCGTCGCCGTGTCAGGGACTCGCGGTTATGGGGGGCTCTGGGGGGGCACGGGCTCTAGGCTAGGACTGTCCCGGGGCCTCTCGGAGCCCGCCCGCCCACGTGACCGCCCCAAAATATCCGACACATTTTCTCCCAAACCGCACACTGACTCTGCAGGCGGGGACACGGAAAATATTTTCTTTCTTTTTCTCCCTCCCCACCCCCCCCACCTCCCTCCCAGCCCGGCTCCCTCCTCCCCTCCCGCCCTCGCTCCTCCCTCCCCTGCCGCCTGCCCCTGCCTGGCTCCCTCCTTGGTGCCCTAGGGCTGGGGGGCAGGGGGGAGGGGGACTGGGCGGGGCGGCCCAGGACGCCTGGGTCTCTGCCCCTCCCATTTGCTGGGCTTCCGTGGCTCCATCCCCGGGAGGCCGGGCAAGGCTGGCAGAAGAGGTCAGTGTCCTGAGCCCATGATGCCACCCTTTCTCTCTGGCACTTTTCCCTTCCTGCCATTTGGGGGGACTGGTTGAATTCTCTGGCCAGGCTGTGGTTCTGTGACGCCAGTCGCTGGTCCCTCCCCAGGGTAGGCAATGGGAGCTGTATCCCTGTCCTCCCAGGGGTGGAGAGATGGGGCAGGGGTATGACAGAGCAGATGCCACTGTCTTTGCCCTTTGCGTAGCCTTCACCTGCAGGTCAAAGTAGTCTCTCCTTCCCCTTGCCTACACTAGATGGTCCTTTGGTCCCAGGAGCAAACGCGTTTAACCTGTGGGGGTTTGGGGGTGCTGACGCCTGGCTCCAACACCTCCTCCCTCTCACCCTGCTTTGAGTAAGCTCCAGGAGTTAGGGCGCCTGAGTCCCTGGCTGCCAATGTTGTCCCCACCTTTAGGCTTGGATCTGAAGGGGAAGAGGCTGGGGAGGAGGGCAGGAGGAACTGTAGCTGGGAGTGGGAGGAGCCTGGGGCTGGGTGTGAGAGAGAAAGCCCAAGCAGAGGGTGTGTGTCTGCCTTAACCAGTGCCTGCCTGCCTGCCTGCCTCGGAGATGCGCCACCAATGTTTGACTCTGTGTGTGCGCGTGTGCATGTGCCCAGAGTCAGTGGCAGTGTCTCATGGGGACATTCTCTGACTTCAACATGACCACCACAGACTCTCAGCCGAGGGTGGAAATCCGGGGGTTTCAGTCTCCATTCTACTGAGGACAGAGGGAGAGAAGAGAAGGGGTCTGAAGTCCAAGCTCTGTGCGTGGACCCCAAACACTCCGATGGCGATTAGGGGTGGGAGTGAGAAAGTGGGAGCAGCAGTGGGCTGGGCTAGGCTGGAGAGAGGCACCCAAAGGACTTCCCCAGCAACGATCCCAGGGTGGCCAGCACTGGGGATGTGGACTCCTGGTCACGTCACATTTTCCATACTGGAATTAGTCTGCACTGTCCTTGCTGCCACTCTGGGGGCCAGGTGTCCTCCTTCTTGGGAAAGACTGCTTTTTTTTTTTGCCATTTCCAAAAAATTTTTGTTTTAAAGTTTGGGATTTTTTTCCAGTTTTCTTCAGATATGATTGACATATAACATTGTGTTAGTTTAAGGTGTACAACATAATGGTTTGATATATGTGTATATTGCAAAAGGATTACCACATAAGTTAATTAACATCCATCATCTCACATAGTTACAAATTTTTTTTCTTGTCATGAGAACTTTTAAGATTTACTCTTTTAGCAAAAGGTCACTTTCTGTAGGCAGGGTCAGGTGAAGGGGAGGCAGAAAGAAGGGGTGTGCTGTGGCCCTCTCAGGAACAGGAGATGTCAATGGGGCTGCAGACAAGGCCCTTCCTTTCACTCCAGGGGTGGGAAGAGCTGGGAATAGGTACTCCAGGGCCCCGTCCCCAAGTGGCCTGGCTGCTGTTGACGTTTCTTGGTTTCCCTGGGAGCAGCTCTCAGCAGTGTGGGAGGAGTGGGTGTCAGGGAGTTGGACCCAGGCATCCAGGCTGGGGTGGGATGGCGCCCATCCTGTGTGGCAGGGTTGCTGCCAGGAGGCTGCAAAGTTACCCCTTCCTGCCCTGGTGGTGGTAGCTGGTAGAAGGAGGGTGGGCCCAGCTGCGGTTTGCAAATGTGGCCCCAATTCCCCCTCCCCCTCCCAGCACATCTGTACTTGGTTTACAGTGAATGAGTCTCCTGTCCTCATGAACTGGGCAAGGGCACCACTCCCTCCCTGGTCCCTGGCGGGGGCATCCTGATCCAGGACCAAGCACCACCCCTGTGACGTTCTCCCTGCTGGGTATCTCCTTTCTCAACTCTTCCCCTTCTCCTTAGAGGGGCTCAGGGGCTGGTCCCCAGGCCAAGTGCTAGAGTTGTAAGACTGTGCAGCTGGGGTAGCAGATGGGGACAAGGTAGCTAAAACGGGGACAGAACACTGTTAGTAGCCTGAAAAGAGAGAGTGGGTCTAGAATTCCATCTATGTCTGCCCTCCTCTTTGTCTTGCTTTGTCTGTCTGTCTGCCTCTGTCTTTGTCTCTGGTGGGTGTTTGTCCATCCATTAGTCTTGGCAACTGTGGCTCCGCCCTTCTGGCGGCCTCCTCGGTCCCCAGCTAACGACAGGAGCCAGGGGGCAATGCTCAGGAAGACTCGCCCTATGCTGGCCCCTCCCCTCAGGATTGCCTCGCCTCTGCCCCCGCCCCTCCCAGGACCCAATGACTGGGGTCTGTTCACAAGTCAAGCCAAAAAGCCCAGGCCGATTGGGGAGCAGGGGAGAGGGGCGCATTGTGAGGGGTCCCAACTCTTCTCTGTCTTGCAGTGGAGCCAATCTTCTGTCCAGGGGTTCCAGGGGGAGGCTTGGGAAGAGGGCCTCCCATTCTGGAAACTTGTGGAGAGAGCTCTTCTCATTTCTTTTTCTTGGGTCATCCCTATTTCTAGGCTTTGCTCTGTTTGTGGCTGCTCCACTTGGTCACCCTGGCAACTTGGAGAAATGATATCTTGGGGGCCCTAGAACCAGGCTTCCTTTGCTTCCCTCATCACAAAGACCAGAAAGGAGAGACTGCAAGGGAGGAAACGGATCCAGACGTCTGTCCTACCTGCCTTGCCTTTGCTGTATTGCCTCACCCTTAATTGTCACGCTTGCCCCCTCCCCACCAGCATCAGGATACTGATAGGTAACTTTCGCATGCCCAGTCTGATGCTGGGGGATGTCCTGTGCCACACTCAGAGGGGGCTGGCAGATGTCTGTGCGAGGTGAGGGGAGCTATGTTACAACCCCCAAGGACATCATTAAGGCATGGAAGTGCCGTCGGGGCTTGGAGACCAGGGCACCCGGGAGAGCATGATGCAAACATGTTTTGTACAACACGTGTCTTCTTTCCCTTCCTCCCCTCCTCTCTCACCTTCTCCCCCTAGGCCTGCTCTGTGCCAAGGCTGGTGCCAGCCCTGCCCCATGTCCTCGCTCAGTTCCACCCCTTGTACCAGGCCTATTCTGCTGCTTGCCCAGTCTGTCGGCTCTCCTGCTGAATGAGCTTGTGTGTGGAAGGTCCTTACCAGCCCCAGTGCTGCTCAGATCCCCACATAGAATGAAGTCTTGAATTTGAAGCCCAGGATTTTAGGGCTAGCCTTAAGAACTCTAGGAATGTCTTCCCTGAACATGCACCATTTATTAATTCAACAAATCTTTATTAAGCATCTACTGTGTGCCAAGCACTGTGCTAGGCCCTGGGAGTACCCAGGTAATGTCCCTGCCCTTGCAGGCTCATAGTCCAGTGCAGGAGTCAGACATTAACCCAACTATCCACAAAATTGCAAGTGATAACCAGCATGGAGATGCATAAGGTACCATCAGAATGGACAGTAGGATTGTCCTCCAGTTAAGCAGATCAGGAAAGGCTTCTGGGAAAAATTGAGGAGAGTGGAGAGAAAGGGGGCCCTGGAACCAGGGTCTGGGCTCCCAGCCACCCTGCTCCCCCAGAAAGAAGAGGGACCCTCCATTCCTGCTCCCCACCTGGATTTCGATATGTTGCAAGGAAGGGATGGTAAGCACCTCCTAATGGCCAAAGCAGGACACTGGGACACCTGCTGACTCTGCCCTGGAATGATTCTACCCATCCCTTCATCTCCTCCTCCAGAAAGAGAAGTAGAGGCACAGATAGGCCTAGGCCTGAGGTCGTATACGGAAAACAAGGCCCCACGTTGTTGGCAGATCCCTCAGGGTGAGGGATGCCTGCGTTTGCCGAGCTGGAGTCTCACCAGACAGAAAAGGCTTCTCCTCTGAGCTGTTCTGCCGCCTGCCCTCCCCATCTCTGATCCAGCCCTGACCTGTCCTACTCCCTGGAAAGAGGAGCCTGTCTGCCTCCAAAGCTGCAGAGCGTGTGAGGTGAGTGCTCCAGGTGTCTGCCAGGCACCACATGGGTGGGGAGCTCTGCGTTTGTACAGAACCTCCATCCAGGGGTTAGGGGGTTATCTCTCCTCTGTCCACTGGGGGGCTTCCCGTTCCTCTGGCCCAGGCACCAAGGTTCCAAGACTCTAAACTTCTTCCTTTCCGAAGAAAAGCAATAGAGGGCCTTTTGGAGGAAGGAGCAGGCTTCTCTGTGGCTGTGCCTCCTCCAGAGCTGGCAAGGAGGTCCTGGGACCAATGGGGTTAAGTTCCAGACCTGCTCTGACCCACTTTCCTCTCTGTGCCCATATCCCCTGGGGCCAAGGTGTTGGGTGGGGCCAGCCTGGCACCCCCGCACCCACACCTGGGACTTCCCTTGGATGGAAACTCCCAGAACCCTGGTGTCCTACCTCCCTTGCCAACTCCCACCAACTGCCTGGGATCTGTTCAGCTTTAATTGGATCTCCCTGTCTGCCAGCTCTTCACCAGACTACATCTCTGCCTTAGCCCCAAGGGGCCCCAAGGATGTGGGTCCACTCTCTGGGCCCGTCTTTGATGTCTGGCTACCCCTTCTAGCGCAGTCCTTTGATGAGAAGATGTGGGGTTGTGGGGAGGAGGGAGGGAAGCTGTCCTTTCTTGAGCACCTGCTATCGTGCCAGGCTTGTACATTACTCGCTAATCCACACAGCAGTCCAGAGACATAGCAATTATCATTCCCATTTCACAGAAGAGAGAGCTGATAACCAGAAAGGTTAAGTGACTTGCCCAATATCACACAGCTAGAAAGTGGCAGAGCTAAGATGGGAACTCAGGTCTTGCTCCTGAGCTCTCTCCACCACGGCAGGCTTCTGCAGCTGCCCATGTCCCTGGGGGATGAGAGACTTGGGAAATTCAATTCAATTCAATTCAGCAACATTTATGAAGCATCTGCCACACACCAGCACTGATAGATGTCAGAAATACAGGGAAAGTGGCTGTCCTCCAGGTCTGGTGGGAAAGACAGATGTATGGACTGGGAAGTATCTAACTTCAGCATAATGATCTGAACAAGGTGGCATGGAGCAGAGAAAGAGATGGCACTTCTATTTTCTCTTTCTGTAAAGAATACGTACATATATTATGAACAATGTACAGATAAACTGGAATAAAGTGAATACCTATTTAACTGTCATCCAGCCTAAGAAAGAGTATTTCCTGCACTCCAGAAGCTCCCATGTGTCCCTCCCATAATCCTCTCCCTCCCCTAAGAAGTAACCACCATCTGACTTTTGTGATAATTATTTCCTTGTTTTTCTTTAGTTTTACCACCTCTGTATGCATCCCTAAACAATATTGCTTAGTTTTCTTGTTTTTGAGGTTTATGTGAATTGAATGAGACTGATTACTCTTTTCGTGTCTTACTTATTTTGTTCAACTTCTTTGTTCATGAGATATATCCAAGTGGTTGCACATAACTGTCTTTTATTATTGTTGCATAGTATTCAGCTGCATAAATATACCAGAATTTGTTTTTTAATTCTACTGTTGGTGGATGTTTGAGTGTTTTTCAGTTTGGGCTATTGTAAACAGTACTGTTAAGAACATTCTTGTTCATTTTCCCAGAACATACATGCAAGAGTTTTTCTAGGCTATAAAACTAAGAATTGAAGTGTATGTACAAGCAATCTCAATTTTATCAAATAAGACCAACTGCTTTCCAAAACGGTTGTACCAATTACACCAGAAGCAGAACATCCCAACCAGGAGCAGGTGTAGGACCAAGAAGACCCATTCATTTTCTTGCCTAAAATCCTCAGTGGTTTCCCTGTTCCTTGGAATAAGACCCAAGTCCCTGCCGTGGCTCGCAGGGCTCTGCCTTGCTCTCTACCTCTGCCGTTATGACTCTCCTCTTTGCTCTTTGCACTTGCTGTCCCGCCTCTCTAGAATGTTCTTCCACTAGATATCTCCATGGCTCACTGCCTTACTTCCTTCAGGTCTTTGCTAAAATGTCACTTCTTGGTGGCAGTGTCCCTTGCCACTGAATTTCAGATCACAACCTCCAGCACTCCTATTCCCTTCCAAGCGTCATTTTCTCCATAGCCCAGCCACCTTGGTTCCGCTCAGCCTCAGGCAGCTCTCCTCTGGTCTGCCAAGGCTTGACAGACTCTATCTCCCCACAAAACCCTTAAGGGCTGTTGTACCTGACTGTTTGGGGCCTGTCTAGCTGTCCCTCCTGATGGGCCCACCTCTCGAGTCACTTCTATCGCATCACCCTGTTATGTTCATAGACATTTTCATGTTGTGACCTAAGCTAATATATCTGTTCGTCTACACTGTATCTGTTTGGTTTTGGCCCCCACCCCACCCCACCCCTCACATTTATCAGAGCTCCATAAGAGAGGATACTTAACTGTCTTGTTCACTACTATGGCCAGTGCCTGTTGCACGATAGGCCCTCAAATAATAATTGTCCAGGCTGGTTGTCAGTCTCCCAGAGACAGCCGGGCAGCCCTACACCCACACCTGGGTCTTGCCCTATCTGGAAAGTCCCAGAACTAGACATCCTCCCTCTGCTGCCAGCTCCCACCAACATCCCTGGCTCAGTCTCAGAGCTCTCCTGCTGCTGCTGCTTCCTTCTTAACTCCCCTCTGGCCATCAGGGCTGGAGAGTGATGGGCAGAGGTCCTTACCCAGGCAGGTGTCAGGTGCCTGGAGCTCAGGAAACACTTTTTGATTGAATAAAGGGGAAGACTTCAGAGATGATAAGACCTTGCCAGGTGGAGGAAAGAGAAAGGGTACTCTGAGCAGAAGGAACAGTGTGGACAAAGGCCTGGAGGCATGAAAGTGCACATCATATTTGAAGAACGGGTCCTGGTCTGATGCACTTGGAGGGTTTCCAGTGTAGGGGAGGGCTGCAGGAGAGCACTGCTGGGCAGGCCTGAAAGGGGGGGCTGGATGGGGAGGTCTGAGCTCCCTGCAGGCTCAGCAAGGCTCAGAAGTGTCTTAGCTTTAATCCTGCCCCCCACAGTCCGCCCCTCCTCCTCCACCCCTGCCCTCCCCTCCACCCAACCCCCCAGCCTGGCCGCTCCTGCAGCTGAATGGACTTCTCTCTGGGCCTACGCTTGGGGCCTCGGAACAAGAAGGCCACCCACCAACAGCCCCCTATCCCCTCTGGGCACGGCCCACCAACTGCCTCTCCTTGTCTGTCCTGTCAGCCCTCTGTCTGTGCCTGCCCCTGCCCTGGCTGTCCCCCTCCCACCTGTTCTGGCACTGCCTATCCCTCTTATGCAGCTACGTGCCCCTCCTGTCCCAGCCTCCCTGGCCCACCCTGTACCTGCTCCTGCCCTCCCTGCCCTCCTTGCCCTGCCTGTCCTCCCTCGACTTGTCCCCACAGCTCCTGCATCCCATGCCCTGGTCCACAGGTGACTTGCTGCCACCTCTCCCCTTGTCCCAATTACCCTTGCTCCAAGGGCCGAGCTTCCTGTCCGACCTCCTGCTTGGGCTGCAGTGACAGCTGTGGCTGTGGCCGGGGGGCTGCCTGGGGGCCTCCAGGCTCCATTGGCCGCTGTAACTGCTGCTCCAGGGGACAACGCCCCTCTCAGAGGCACTGTCTCATAGTCTAGGTGGGCTGTTGCCCACCTGAGAGATTGTCAGTCCCCCGGAGCACTGCTGGAGCTGCTTCTTCAGGAGGGAGGCAGAAGCTCTGGGCAGAGTGAAGAGAGGAATCAGCTAGACCCCTCGCCCAGGCAGGTAGGGGCAGCACACTGCTCAGAGTCCCCAGCCTCCCCCTCAGTTCTGGGGTGACAGCAGAGCATCTGTTTGAAGTGAGTTTCTGGGCGTGCTCCTGCTGGTTCCAGAACCTCCTCTTCTGCAACTTCTGGATTGGAAAGTGTTCTTCTCAGGGCCTCCTCCTTGGCCCCTGAAGGTGAGCAAGTTGGCCATTTTCCCACTCTAGTCAGCCTCCACTGGAGACTCTTCTTGGCTCATCTCTTCTGCAGTTTGCATGGATAAGAAGGATTCTTCTTCTAGAGGTAGTAGGGGGTCCCCTGTCCAGGGGCCACATCTGGCATCTTGGACCTCCACCCATTTCCCTGACAGACCCAAGAGTCTCTGGACCCCTTACCTCTTATCTTGAGCCAAGCAAAGAAGGCCTATGGCTCTTGGACCAGAAGAGGAGGCTGAGCGGAAAGTTCCTGGCTCCTCCCTCCTGGTGGATATCATGACATCCTTCATGGTCCTTTGCTTCTAGGAACCCCGTGGTCTCTGCGCAGGTGTCTTGTCTTTCAAATCTCTGAGCGCTCACCCAGCCTCATGACCTCAATCTTCCAGCAATAATCCCATCTGTGACATCCATGCTCATCTGGCATGTAGGGGAGGGAAGCTGGGAACCCTTCCCTCAGGCTCCCAAAGGTCCTATCCACACATCGCTAGTTGTCCCTGGGGCTGGGGCTGGGAGTTTGCAGAAGCCACCAAGGGGAAACTGGAAGTGAGAGACCCAAGTATCTGCCTGGGACTGGATCTGAAGCTGGGAGCCCCTAAGCCCTCCCCCACATTTCTCAAGTTCTCTGACACTCGTCTCTTTCAATCTTCTCTTTCTCCACCTCCTTCTCTGGGACCCTTTGTTCTTTCCTCTCTCTCTCTCTGTTTATACTTCCTTTTGTCTTTCTCTGTCACTCTCTCTATTTCTGTGTCCTTTCTATCACTGAGACATTCTGCCTTCACCTAATTTGTGTCTCTACATCTGTTTTCCCCACTTTCCATCCCTCTGTTTCTTCTTCCCTCTTTTTTCCCCTTCTAATCTAAAATCTGCTCAACATATATGTCTTTTCTTTCTCCCCTCGCTTCTCAATCCATGTCTGCGTGTCTCTTTTCTTCCATGGTCTTTTGATCCAGCTCATATCTCCCCAGGTTTCTGTGCTCTTCTGCTGCTGGGTCCATTTCATTTGTGATCTCTTTCATTTCTGTTTCCCTTTTGTCTTTGTCTCTTTTCCTGTCTTCTGTGTCGCCTGTTTCCTCACTTCCTAGCTCTCTTTCTGCCTCCCCATCTCTAGCTCTCTCTCTCTCCCTGGGCCCTGCAGCTGTCTGCACACCAGGCCTGTGTGATGCCCATCTCATTGCTGCCCAAGGGCCAAGACGTCGAGCCCTCCAGTGTCTGTCTGTCCCACACACACCTCGAGCCCTAAAGTGAGCAAGGGCTGGACACAGCTACCAGAATAGTCCCTTCTTTTCCTACCCACTATCCAATCCATTCATTCCTCCTCAGCCCTAAGCCCAAACCTTTTCAAAAATGATGCTTCTCCCAACTTCTTATTCTGAAAATTGGCAATTAAAAAGACAAAGAATTAAGTATTTATGCTTCCTGTCCTGTGTAAATTGTATTTCAGGGTAGCCGAATAGCTCTAAGTGGTGGAGAAAACATCTTATTTACAGAAGAATTCCAGCTAATGTGGAAGGAATATGGAATAAGAAAAATCACCACTTTGCAACCCCTAATGAAATAACTGGCCAAAGCAAGAACCATCAGTGGTGCTTGATGGACAACTTTACAATGGAGGAACTCAGCTGTCAACACTGACCCTACTGATGAATCTTAGCTTCACTGAAAGGGGCACAAGCACACACATGTACCTCCTGATGTGATGCAACCTGAGGCACCCACCACTACCTAGGAAGGATGTGCCAAACAAAGAAACAAACCAAAAAACTGAACATGACGCTGATCGAACCTCTAGAGCTGACCTCCATTTAATACTGGGGATGGAGGGACAAATTAAATGACACAATGAGGAAGTAAGAAGACACATCCAGAATGTGGGACATTCTATGGAAATCTGACCCAATTTCTTCAACTAGTTAACAGCTGGGGGAGGGAAAGTGAGAGGGGACATGAAAAGACAATTACCACGTGGAACATGTGGACCTTGATGGTTCCTGATTTGGACAACCCAATTGCAAAAAAGACATTTGCAGACAGTTGGGGACATTTAATTATGGACTGAGTATTTATGATGCCAAGGAATCAGTGTTGATTTTGTTAGATGTAAAAATGGCTCTGGGGTTATGTAAGAAAAAGTCCTTATTTCCTAGAGATGCAAACTGAAATATGGAATGAAGTGACATATTTAATTTTCAACATTTCAGCAAATAAAAAAGGACAGAAAGAAAGGAATAGAAAGAACATAGTGAAAAAGTCAATATTGTTGAATTAAGGATATATAGGTTCATGGAACTATGCTCTCTATTTTTGTGTAGGTTTGGACATCTTCATAATAAAAGTTTTAAACGATGCTCCTCTGGAAAGTGTGGTTCCTAGTATTTCCCAAAGCATCCTCCCCACCTGCCCTGAAGGCCAGGACTTCCCCTGTGATTCCCACACACAGCCCTCCCTGCCCTTTACCAGAAGCGAGTCCTAGAGATGGATTGTGCACATAGGCTGCCCTTTATCCCCTCCATGCCTCTGCCAGCACATTTCCCATCATTAGGACCTTTCCCAGCTGTGCTTTACAGCTCTGAGGGGCCAGGGGCACCTTAAAGAGTTAAGATATTTTGAATAGGTCCTACAACAAATAAAGATAATCCAGAATAATGTAATCTCGCTGTAAGTCTTTCTCTATCAGGTGCTTCTGAGCAAAATGCAACTCAATAATGGGAGAAAACTGGCCTCTGTCTTGGAAAACAGAAGGCTGGAATGTAAGGCTGTCCTGTCCCACTTCCTGCCTTCATTCAGGATGACGTCCACCCCCAAAGAAAAGACCACCAAGAATTGAGAGACTGAGCATCATGAGTTCAAGGGGCTTCGGTCCAGGACTGAAATGGAGGGCATTTGGGTCCCCCCATACGCTCACTCACTGAATGACCCTCGGGAGATCATGATTTTTGAGTCTTTGTGTTTCTAGATGAATGCATGGGAACCACTACCCCTTTCTACTTTCTACAAGTTCACCAGGTAAGGATAAAGGCACTCTAGAACTTGTCAGATATAAATCCCAGCTGTTGGGGCCCGCCCCGTGGCCTGGCTGAGTGTTTAGGTTCGAGCGCTCTGGTTCGGCAGCCCAAGGTTTCGCCAGTTCAAATCCTGGGCGCGGACATGGCATTGCTTGTCAGGCTATGTTGAGACGGCATCCCACATGCCACAACTAGAAGGACCTACAACTAAAAATACACAACTGTGTAGCAGAGGGCTTTGGGGAGAAAAAGGAAAAAAAAAAAGAAAAACTCTAAATCTCAGCTGTTTACTTTATCATAAGAAAGTATTTCTCGAGATGTAATCCTAGACTCTCACTTCCTCTACCCTCCAAGCTTTAGTATAAAAGAAACTGACATTTACGCATCACCTGTGCAGGTGGGGGAACTCTTTTATCTTCTCAGATACCGTATGAGCATGGAATTGGAAAGATCTGGGTCCCACTTCTGACTCTACCTCTTACCATGTGGCTCTGGGCATGCTACCTAACTTTTCAAACTCTGAAGGATAGTAATAGTACTTATCTTCTGGGTTGTTGTGACAGTTAAATAATTCATCCAAAGCAGGTGGCCCAGGACTTCTTACAACAGAGCTTAGGTACATAATAACTGTTTGATAAGTGTCACCAGCTAATGTGGGCCAGCACTTTTTAGAGCAATTTACATGGATTAACTTATTCATTAATTTGTTCATCAAATGTTTACTGAATTTTCTTAATGCCAATAACTGCTTTAAGTACTGGGAATACAAGTGAACAAAACAGATAAAAATCTGTTGGGAGAAGAGACAGTAAATAAGTAAAATATATAGTGTGCCAAATGGTGTTAAGTGCTACGGAGAAAATGCAGCAAAGGAGAATAGAGAGTTGGAAGGAAAGCAGGTAGATTACCGTAGCGAAGGTGGCGGTGTTGCTATTTTAAACAGGATGACCCAGGAAGGCCTCTCTGATAAGGCGACATTTGAACAGAGAACTGGTGGGGCTGAGGGAGGGAACCATGTGGATATCTGGGAGAAGAAACAGAACCTTACAGGGCACAGCGTGCCAAGGCCTTGACGGTAGCCAGTGTAGATGGAGTAGAAAGTGTAGGAGAAAGAACTATAGGAGGGTAGATCAGAGATGTGACAGAGGACAGAGGGCTTTGTAGGCCATTATAAGACTTCTGGGAGGCCAACCCGGTGGCATAGTGGTTAGGTTCAAGGACTCAGATCCTGGGCACGGACCTTCACACCACTCATCAACCTATGCTGTGGCAGTGTCCCACATACAAAAAATAGAGGAAGATTGGCACAGATGTTAGCTCAGCAACAATCTTCCTCAAACAAAAAGAGGAAAATTGGCAACAGATGTTAGCTCAGGGCCAATCTTCCTCAACAAAGAAAAATATAATACATATTTCAGCTTTTATGCTTAGTGAGATGGGAAGCCATTGGACGGTTTCAAGAAGATGATACTAAGGCGAGAGAGAGGTTAAATAACCTTTCTAGGGTAACACAGCTCCTACATGGCAGAAGGTGGGCATTTAACTCCAGGGCTAAAGATCTTAACTCTCCATTCCCGCTGAACCTTAGCCTTTTTATTTGAGTACTGCTCTTCTGTGATTGCAGACAAACAGACTGGGACACTGAGAAGCTATGTGGCTTGCCCGAGGCCACACAGCTGGTAAGTGATAGGGATGGGGTCGGAGCGGCAGTCTGTCAGCAAACCTGCGTCCAAGTCCTTTACACCACACTGCCTCCCTCAGGTGTCTGGGCCATACTGACTGCTGGCCTCTGGAGGTCAATACAGTGGGAGAGGAGGGAAACTGAGGAGCCCCTGCCGGCTCGGGGCAGCGGCGTTCCGTAGGAAGCTCCAGCCCCGGGCTCTGGGGGACGGCGGGCATCTTCCCGGGCACAGGTGCGCTCTCTCACCCACGGCACGGAGAGAGGGAGACAGAAAATGCGTCTTTATTTCGGAGTGGCCCCGCAGGTATCCGGGAGAGGAACCAACGGGCATCACGGGGCGGCAGCGGTCGGAGCCCGACCGGGAGCAGCCACCGGCACCGCCTCTGGACGCCCCCGGGTCGGCGCCCGGAGTTCCGCGCGCGGGCGGGGGCAAGAAGGCGGAGCAGGGGCGGGGCTTGAGCGCCGCGCCCCCGTCACGTGACGGGGCCATCATGGCGGCCGCCAGAGGCCTGTCAGGCTCCCGGAAGCAGGCTGCGAGGGGCGGGTGCGCCGCTGGAACCCAAGCCGGAGCCGGAGCCGGAGGTAGAGCGGCCAGGGCGGCCGGGCGGCCTGGAGCCGGACGTGTCCGGAGCGTCCCCGCAGACCGGGGCAGCAGGTGAGATGACGTCTAGGCGCGGCGCGGGCGAGTGTGACGGCGCTGGGGCGCTGGGCGCGGGCTAGGGGGGGGGGGGGGGGGGGGAGGGGCGTGACTTGGAGGAGGGGGAATCTGAGATGCCCGCGCGTAACCCTGAAGCAACTCGAGAGGCTCGCGCGGGCGGGAGGGATGCCCGGGACAGATGACGAGACATTAGGCAAAAACAGGCTCTCCAGAGACGATGGGAGGCAGTAGAAGGAAGTGTGCAGAAGCTGTTGTGGAAGAGGGCAGCAGCCTCTTAGCTTGCGGGGCTGGGATTATTGAAGGGACACTCTCTTGCTTTGCCAGGCAAGGGTGGGGCGAATGCTCAGTCTTCTCCGCTCTCTTCTTACCCCTCCCTGCCCCACAGTGTCCTAGACGATCGCTCTGGCGGGCCACTCCTCCCACCCACCCAACTGGTCCCTCCAGTCTTGGGGAGAGGAGTTGAGGGGTGGGGAACTGCAGTTAGCAGGGAGGTTGGGTGGAGCTGCCTTCTGCTTAGGCACTCAGCCCTTGACAGTGCTACCCGGGCAATGGAGGTGACTCTGAACCCCCCTTCTCTCCCCAGGTCGTCCGGGGACCGGCCATGCTGGTGACTGCCTACCTTGTCTTTGTGGTCCTCCTAGCCTCCTGCTTGGGGCTGGAACTGTCAAGATGCCGGGCTAAACCTCCTGGAAGGGCCTGCAGCAATCCCTCCTTCCTTCGGTTTCAACTGGACTTCTATCAAGTGTACTTCCTGGCCCTGGCAGCTGACTGGCTCCAGGCCCCCTACCTCTATAAACTCTATCAGCATTACCACTTCCTGGAGGGTCAAATTGCCATCCTCTATGTCTGTGGCCTTGCCTCCACAGTCCTTTTTGGGCTGGTGGCCTCCTCCCTTGTGGATTGGCTGGGTCGCAAGAAGTCTTGTGTCCTCTTCTCTCTCACTTACTCTCTTTGCTGCTTAACCAAACTCTCTCGGGACTACTTTATGCTGCTGGTGGGCCGAGCACTCGGTGGGCTGTCCACAGCTCTGCTCTTCTCGGCCTTCGAGGCCTGGTACATCCACGAGCACATGGAACGGCATGACTTCCCTGCTGAGTGGATCCCAGCTACCTTTGCCCGAGCTGCCTTCTGGAACCATGTGCTGGCTGTAGTGGCAGGTGTGGCAGCTGAGGCTGTGGCCTGCTGGGTGGGGCTGGGGCCTGTAGCGCCCTTTGTGGCTGCCATCCCTCTCTTGGGTCTGGCTGGCGCCTTGGCCCTTCACAACTGGGGAGAGAACTATGATCGGCAGCGTGCCTTCTCAAGGACCTGTGCTGGGGGCCTGCGCTGCCTCCTCTCAGACCGCCGTGTGCTGCTGCTGGGCACCATACAGGCCCTGTTTGAGAGTGTCATTTTCATCTTTGTCTTCCTCTGGACACCTGTACTGGACCCATATGGGGCCCCGCTGGGCATCATCTTCTCCAGCTTCATGGCAGCCAGCCTGCTCGGCTCTTCCCTGTACCGCATTGCCACCTCCAAGAGGTACCACCTTCAGCCCATGCACCTACTCTCCCTTGCTGTCCTCATCGTCGTCTTCTCCCTCTTCATGTTGACTTTCTCCACCAGCCCAGGCCAGGAGAGTCCAGTGGAGTCCTTCATAGCTTTCCTGCTTATCGAATTGGCCTGTGGGCTATACTTTCCCAGCATGAGCTTCCTGCGGAGAAAAGTGATCCCTGAGACAGAGCAAGCTGGTGTACTCAACTGGTTTCGCGTGCCCCTGCACTTACTGGCCTGCCTGGGGCTCCTAGTCCTCCACGACAGTGATCGCAAAACGGGCACTCGGAACATGTTCAGCATATGCTCCGCTGTCATGGTGATGGCTCTACTGGCGGTGGTGGGGCTCTTCACTGTGGTAAGGCACGATGCTGAGCTGCGGGTGCCCTCACCCACTGGGGAGCCCTATGCCCCTGAGCTCTAACCCTGTTCCGGGACAAGGGGGCTGGGACGGACTCTTAAATCCCACCTCTCCAGGGTTGTGCAGATATCTCTGTGACTGACTTTGTGACTGTCTGGCCCCTCAGCCTGTCCTGGGGCCCCTTCCTGCCAGTGCTTTGGGTTGGGGAGCACATGGGGGTGATGGCCTGGAAAGAAGATGCCAAAAGTTGCCTCTGTGTGACTCCTTCTCCCCTTTCCATTTACAAATAAACACTTTTAATCGATCATTGATTGGATTTACTCATCCTCACCTCTACCCACCTCCGTAGTTTCTGGTGAGTGGGCAACTGGAGGTTTTGAGGATGGAGGTGGCATTAGCCAGCAGAAGGTTTATATTTCTAACCTCTCTAAGACTGTCTCCAGCATAAACTGAGAGCTGTTTAATTGCCTCTCAGCAGAAATGGATGGGAAATGCCTGAGGCTCCTAGTTCCTCATATCTTGTTTCCCTGGGGACAGGTACCCTCCCCAGTTGCCAAGCAAAACCTTTGCTCCATATCCAAGGTGAGACAGTCTCTAGAGCATGTGGGGTAAATGCCCAAGCCACTGAGCAAAGATTCAGGGGCTTGGGTTACTTCTATAACCACCCCTTGGGGCAAAACAGCGCCTTCCTACAGGAAGAAGCTTTCGGCTCAGCACATGTGTGCTACCTGCCTTCTGCCTCTGTGGCTATGAATGCACCATTTGCCCAGCATCACCTGGGCCCACCAGGTCCTGTATCCTTGCATGAAACCTAAGTGAGGGGCTGCCAAGGGGAGAGAGCAGTGAATGGCTGAGGGACTGGGACAGCTTGTCTGTACCTGACTCTTCCCCACCCAGCTTGAGTGAGGGTGATGGAGCCATCAGGGGAGGAAACAGTACCAGTGGGAACGCCAGTTCTGTGGGCCCCTCCCTGCCTCACCTCTGATTGTATCTGCCTTTCCTCCTCCCACCAAAACCTGGGCTTCTCAGGGAAGCAGAGCCAGCTTTAAGAAGGGTGGGGATGGAGGGAGGGTAGGCTCAAGGGTGTGTCCTGGAATGTACTTGAGATGGGCACGGGGGACCCACCTGTTCTGGAAAGGGATTGAAGACCTTTCCTTGGGTCCCAGACTCCTTCCCAGACAGGAAGATGCAAGACTCCCAGACCTGCAAGTCTCAACCTGTGTGACTTAGAGATAGCATCAGCTGGTGCTGGAGGAATGCAGCCTGGATGGGCTTCTGTGGGGGCAGGCTGAGGAGGAGGGGTGGGTAGTGGTCTAGGTCCCTCAGAGCAGGAAAAAACACATGTTCCCCCACCCAGGCTGCAGGGAGTAGAATTTGTGGTTAAGTTCGGAAAGCTATCTTTTCCTTCCCCCATCTTGATGCTAAGGCAGAGTCTGTTGCAATAACTCCACTTCCTCTTTCTGCCCTGTTGAGCTGGACCTGGATATATTTTATAGTTATTGTAGACTTTCTCTCTGTCCCTACCGTACTATGATCTCCTTGAGGACAAGAGGAAAGTGTCTTACTCCCCTTTGTCTCCTCCATATGTACACACAAGTGCGTGCTTTGCACGTGACTGTGCTCAGTAGATGTCTGGAGCAGAGATGGGCTGGCTCACACCTGGCTTTTCAAGAGCTACCCATTTTTTGGGAAGTCTGTTAGACTAGAGTCTAGAGTCTAGTTAATGATTTGTTGTTTTGCATGACAGTAATTATTTACTGATGGAAGCATGAGGGAGCCCCACATCCCTAGTGATAAGGAAATAGGGGTGTAGAGGAGACAGACTAATGAGGTTCCTTTAGCTTCGTTCCTGCTGAGCTTCTTTCAAAGGGGCTTTTGGCGGATAGACTGGGGAGGGGTCTTTTCTGTCAGACTCACAGAGTGTTAAGAGCTGGAACACATTGTAGAGGTTGTCCATCCGGCCTTAAATATATTTTTATTGAGCATGTACTATATGCCATGCATTAGTAGGTGCTGGTGAAATGTTTTTGCCCAAGAGGAAAATCTACTTAAAGGAAGGGTGTGTAGCATGTGAATGGCAAAGTTGAGGCTAAACCTTGTCTCTTGCTGTCTGCCCAGTGCCCCTTCTATGACATAGACTGCCTGTGTCCCCTGGGCCCTCATCTACCTGCTTTTCCCCCTGTAGCCCTGCTGCCTCACCCCAAGCCCTGTCCCTCGAGAAGGGCAAGAATGTGGGAGCGTTTAGCCTTGGTCATCTGGTCTCCTTTTGGGTATCTGCCCAAATGGGTCAGTTGAGGGAGTGGTTCACCAGGGGCACACTGCCTGCAAAATGCTGTTCGTGATGCTCTGCTGAGAGGCAGCATACGGAACCGGTTTAGAGCACAGAGCCAGAGCCTGACTGCCTGGGTTCAAATCTGTGTCTTAGTTCCCTCATCTGTAAAATGGGGATGCTAGTGTAGTTTCTACCCCACAGGGCTCTTGTGAGGATTAAGTGCATTTCTGAATATAAGTGCTTAGAACAGTATTTGGCCCACAATCTAAGCACTACATAAGTGTCTGCTTTTATATTTTATTTTTTAACTTTTTCAATCCAGCTGAGCCTATCTGGATCTGGATATGAGAATGAGTGGATGGGGCTGTAATGTGGTGTAGAACTTTCAAACACATCCCAGTGGTTGGGTAATTCCCGGCAGTGTTTTCCCTTGGTCCTGGCCCAGATAGAAATATCAAGCTATCTGAGAGGCCTCCTTCTTTGGCGTATGTGAGCAGCTGAGTAGGGTGTCAGTAGGTTCCACTTGAACTCATTTCCTCCTCCTCAAGTGGGAAGGTCAGCAGGCTGTCAGATTTGATACACACCACCATCTTTCACTATGAGGCTCCTGATTTTCTCACTTTCTATCCAGCTGGACACATGATTATTTGATTTGGAAGTCTTAAGTGATCCTGAGAAACAGAAACGTCCCGAGGAACCAGGAGCTAATGGACAAGAAGGCAGGAGGACTGGGGCATGAGGATAGTACTGGGTTCCGAGGCCTGGACGATGACCTCTTGCTGGAGCTTCAGTCCCTGCTCAGGGAGGGGAGGGGACCGTTCCAAGGTAATGGCCATTGCCCTTTGGCTGAGTCTAGGTTCCACTCCCCATCACTCTTCCCCTAACTCCAATCCTGTGGTTCTCCCTGTTCCTTTTATTATTTTTTGCCACCACTTCCCCATAGAACCACAGAATAAAATTATAAAACAAACAGAAGTTTGTCACACTTGGGATCAGATCTAATGTTATAAAAATATTTCACATTTGCTTTAAGTTTTTTTCTTTTTACAATAAAGTTATATGGACTGATTGTAAAATAATCAAATGCAAATACAGAAGTACACATTTAATATAAATATGTGAATGTAAAATGTTTATATAATATTGAAATACATATATTTATATGGGTATATAAATATATTATAAATATAAATACATTTATACGTATAGAAATATATAAGAAATGACAGGCTCCCTTAATCCTGCTCTTCATACCACTGTTAAATGTTTGAAGTCTATTCCATGGGTTTAATATTAATTTTTCTGGTTTTTTTTTTTTTTTTTTGAGGAAGATTAGCCCTGAGCTAACATCTGCTACCAATCCTCCTCTTTTTGCCGAGGAAGACTGGCCCTGAGCTAACATCCGTGCCCATCTTCCTCTACTTTGTATGTGGGACATCTACCACAGCATGGTGTGCCAAGTGGTGCCATGTCTGCACCTGGGATCCGAACTGGCGAACCCTGGGCTGCCAAAGCAGAACGTGTGCACTTAACCACTGCGCCACCGGGTGGGCCCCTCTGTTTATTTTTTAAAATAAAAATCAAGTCATATCATTCACGCTGTTCTGCAACTCTTTTTTTTTTTTTTTTTTACATAACAGACTATCTTCTTTTTCTTTTTAAAACAATTAAAATCCACAGGAAGACTGTAACAGCCATTCGTGTATCTCTGATATCTTTATTTGTCAGTACACATAAAACGTGCTGGGGCCGGCCTGTTGATGTAGAGGTTATGCACTCCGCTTTGGCAGCCCGGGGTTTACAGGTTCAAATCCCAGGTGAGGACCTATATACCGCTCATCAAGCCATGCTGTGGTGGTGTATCCCACATACAAAATAGAGGATAATTGGCACACAGATGTTAGCTCAGGGCCCATCTTCCTCACACACGCACACACACAAGTGCTTATTGATGGCAGCAAAGCATTGTTAGGGCCTTTGGAAAGCATTTCAAGGCTAGTCTATTTAAGGCTGGCAGAACCCCTGGGAGGTAGTGAGGCTTAATGTTACTCTCTCCTTTTCATAGATTAATAATAAATTGAGCTGGGACTAGAACCTGGCTCCTGTGTCTAGACTCAAGTTCAAAGCTCTTCCCACCATCCTGTGCTGTCTCTATAAGCTTGGGATTCCGGTGAGAGATTGAATTATGTGACTCAAGTTCATATTGGTCAGCATTTATTGATCTCTGGTACTTAAAGAACTTCCTACTTCTTGTAAGAAGTAGAAGAGGAATAAAAAAGGATGAGATCTCTGCCTTGAGGAGTTTATATAGGGAACATAGAAATACATAGGAAAAAGGCCTAGAACACTTGCTGCACAACATGTAAGTGAACACTAATCGCTAAGGTGTAAGCAAGAGAAAATGAGTACTGAGAGAAGTGATGTATTCGTTGACCATTTATGAACACCTCCTCTCCACTGGGTCCCTTACCCTGTAAGAGATATGTCTGCAATGTCTGTAACACACATTTAGTACTTGCATTAAGGTGACAGGCGCTGAGATTCTTGGGAGATGTCATTGTTCTTGATTTTTTTTTTAATAGTCTTCCCTGCTACATTCTCAGGTCCTAAAAGAGGCTGATGATGATGAAGAAAGGCGGTGATAGAGAAGGATGAGTTATCCAACAGAGTTCTTCGGGAAAGAGATAACTGGGAGACCAGAGTTGTGAACTGAACGCTTTGGTGGAGGAAGGAAAGAGAAGCAGAGCCAACTGAGTGTGTATGTTTGAGGAAGGAGTTAGTACTTACCAAACAAAGTCATTAAAGACGGTGAAATATCCCAGTGAATGAGTTTTCCTAGTTCTTCCCGTCCCTCAAAACCCCCACCCCACCTCCCTAACCTCCATCCCCCATCAAGGAGCGCTAGGTCCTTGTCTCTCTCATGAAATCCTGTTCATGGCAGTAGCAAGGCTGGAAGTCGCCACGGTGCTCCTGTCAGTGCCCCCCGAAAACTGTATCTTTAAAGAATTCCGTGAAAGGCTACGCCCTTTTTTCCTAGTAACCCAAACTGCGTGCGTTTCCAAGTAAGTTCTTTTTGTTGTCTAGCCTGTTTCTCGTCTCTTGAAATTTAAACTCTTTCTGAGCTCTGAAGATAAAGGGGAGGAGGCAAGGGGCTGGCCTTCCCGATAGCGACTAAGCAACAGATAGGCGAGGAACTCGGCCTCGACTGGAAAAAGCGGGGAAACCCGCGCCCCCAAGAGGCTTTAACGCGGGGAGCAGTAGGAGGCGTCCCGTGATGATGCAGCGCGTCTGGTAAACTACAAGTCCCATCGCACCGCGCGGCCCGCCGGCGTTACGCAGCTCTCAGCTGATTGGTCGCTGGGGATATTTGAAAGGAGGGGCTGGCGCGGAAAACGAAGGTTACCTTTCGGATCTTTGAGAAGTGCTTAACCCGGCGGGTAAGTCCTGGACCTGGGGAGGAGGGCGACCTCTAGGGCGGCAAGGCCCGGAGGGACTCGAGAGCGTATGTACGCACCGAGGTGAATGGGGTCTCCAGCGCTGACTTGAGGGAGAGGCGGGGGCGCCTCTGCGAGGGAGGGTCGGGCGGCCTCGGGACGTCCTGGCGGACGCTGAGGAGCTCGGTGGAGGCCTCCGGTGCGGGGCGTTGGGGCGGTGGGATGGGTAGTGAGGCCGGGGATCGGCCTGGAGGAGGGCAAAGCGGAAGCTTCGGTTTATAACGGGAGCCTGGCCTCCTGGCATGGGCTTTCTTCGGATAGGATTTCTGATGGGATTCTTTGCTCGCTTCTTCCGCGGCCTTCAAACGCTCCTCCCGTCCTCCATTTAGCTCCCTTACGAATCTTCTCCGCTTTCTCTGATCCGTCCCCTTTCTCCTAGCCCTCCGGCGCCATGAGGAGCTTCAAAGGAGTCAACTTTGGAGCTCTGCTAAGCAGCCAGAAGGAGGCCGAAGATCTGCTACCTGACCTGAAGGTAGGAGTGCTGTCTGGATCCGGATACCTGGCTTTTCAAGCCGAGCTGTTTTGGTTTTTTCCTTATTTGAAGAGATAGATTAGTAGGAGACCCACTTCTGAGCAACCTTATTTCTAGTTCCTTTCCCTACCTCTTTTGCTCCTTTGGTAGACCCATTCACATCTTCCTCTCTCCCTAGGAGTTCTTGTCCAAGCTTCCAGCTGGTTCTCCCAGCTGCCCATCTGATGCCGAGAGGAGACAAGCTTGTGATGCCATCCTCAGGGCTTGCAACCAGCAGCTGACTGCCAAGCTAGTTTGCCGTGAGCACCTAGGGAGCCTGCTGGAGCTGGCAGAGCTGGCTTGCAATGGCTACTTGGAGTCCACCCCCCAGCGCCCACCCCTCTACCTGGAGCGAATTCTCTTCATCTTTCTGCGGAACGTTGCCGCACAGGGAATCCCAGAGGCCACGCTGCGTCTCGCTCAGCCCCTCCATGCCTGCTTGATGCGGTGCTCTCGCCAAGCTGCTCCCCAGGACTACGAAGCTGTGGCCCGGGGCAGTTTTTCTCTGCTTTGGAAGGGGGCAGAAGTCCTGGTGGAGCGGCGAGCTGCGTTCTCAGCCCGGCTGAAGGCCTTGAGCTTTCTAGTACTCTTGGAGGATGAAAGTACCCCTTGTGAAGTTCCCCACTTTGCTTCTCCAACAGCCTGTCGAGTGGTGGCTGCCCATCAGCTATTTGATGCCAGTGGGCATGGTCTGAATGAAGCAGATGCTGACTTCCTAGATGACATGCTCTCCAGGCATGTGATCAGCGCCTTGGTGGGTGAGGGAGGGGGTTCTCCTGGTGCTCTTTCTCCCCAGAGGGCCCTCTGTCTCTTGGAGCTCACCCTGGAACACTGCCGTCGCCTCTGCTGGAGCCGCCACCACGTCAAGGCGACCAGGGCAATGAAGAAGGCCCATGACTACCTAAGGATCACCAATCTGGCCCCTAGCCTCCAGCTGTGCCAGCTGGGAGTTGAGCTGCTGCAGATCAGAGAAGGAGGACCCCAGGCAGTGGCCAAGCTTCTGATCAAGGCATCAGCTGTCCTGAACAGCTGTATGGAGGCACCATCACCCCCGCTGCGGGCATTGTGTGACAGCTGCCAGTTCTTCCTCTCAGGCCTGGAGCGAGGCATCAAGAGACACTATGGACTTGATGCTGTTCTGGGCCTCTTTGCTTTTCTTGACGGGTACCGCTCCCTCATCCGGCAGCTGCAGGATGGTGTGAGTTAAGAACCTAGAGGTTGGGTGGGAATGTGGTTCTGTGGATCATCATCAGCCCAGGGTCTTTGGCAAGATCTGGAAAGCCTGGCTGCCTCCTTGGTAAGCTGCTCTCTGGACTATACCTGGCCAGTCGGCAAACAGTCTAGTGTGTCCTGAGAGGGCAGTGGCCCCTCTGGATGTCCTTCCCTGGGCTGTGTCAGCTCTCCAGGACTCTGACCCGGTCTTCAGCTTAGAGCTCATGCTTTATCTCTGGCCCTCAAACCAAACCCTGTTCCTTCCTCAGGTCTGTGGGGACCCCTCCAAGCAGCAGCAGGCTTTGATTCAGATGCACTTTCAGGGACTTCACCTCTACTCTGTGGTGGTTTATGACTTTGCCCAAGGCTGTCAGGTACCGGCTGGGCATCAAGGAACCTGGGCAGGTCCTAGGGTCTGGGCTTGCTTGGCTTTGGACATTGGGTGGGGTAGACGCCACCTTGGATCTATTGTGACTCCTCACCCTCAAGCCCTTCTTGTCCCTTCAGGTAGCTGATTTGGCTGACCTGGCCCAGCTAGTGGAAAGTTGCAAATCTACCGTTGTCTGGCTGCTGGAGGCGTTACAGGGCCTGTCAGGCCGAGAGCTAACGGACTACCTAGGGATGACTGGTTAGTGCCCTGGGGCCCAGGTACAGGGTTCTAAGGAGGCTCATCACTCCTTAGGCAGGCAAATAGCACCTGCTGGATGGTTCCGACCACAGTGGGGGCTCCTTATGGTTTAAGGAAGCAGTGAAAGAGGTGTTTCTAAGTATCCATTACTCTATATTTAACAGCAGTAGAGAGGCGATGGGCTAACTTACAATAGCAGACATGAATTTTTTCTCATTGACTTTGAAATCTGATTTGGTATTTATGAAAACGGTTGTACCTGATATGCTTTATGACTTTCTATATATTTAAATTTTAAAGAACATTTATAACTTAAATTTTTTTAAACCAGGTAAAACATTCACAGGGTTTAAAATTCAAACTGCACAAAAGGGCGTATGGTGAAGTCCCTTTCCCATTCCTAATCCTGGCCGCCCAAGGCGCCCTCTACAGAGGGAACTAATAGCATCCGTTTCTTATGTCTCCTTCTGGAGATACACTGTGTATTTATAAGGCAAGATGCGTATATATATTTCTCCCACCCTGGTTATTGAAATAGACATATGGAAAAGTACTGAGATCTTAAGTGTACAGTTTGGTGGATTTTTACAAAGTGAACATGCTTTGTAACCAACATCTAGGTTGAGTAACGGAGCATGACTTAGCCCCCAGAAAACCCCTGCTTGTGCCCCCTTCTAGTTACCACCCCCCACAGCAACCACTATCCCAACAACATGGGTTAGTTTTGCCTATTTTTGTCTTTCATGATAAATTTCCCCCTCATTTTGCAAAAAGCATGGGTCTTCAGTTTAAATTACATAAACCTAATGAGTTCAGTCATTGGAAGATTCTGGAGAACTTTTCATATTCATATTTTCAGTGGTTGAACCTAGTTATAGAGATGAAAATATCAGGAGTCACAAAAATTATTAGTGTGAAAATTCTTCCCACAGAGTACTGAAGACTGACTTTGTTTTCTCCCAACCATCTACCTTGATAGCCAAGAAACTGCATAAACTAGAATTTAGGAAAACTTTATTCATTCAACACATTTATTTTTTTATTTTTTGAGGAAGATTAGCCCTGAGCTAACATTTGCCACCAATCCTCCTCTTTTTGCTGAGGAAGACTGGCCCTGAGCTAACATTTGTGCCCATCTTTCTCTATTTTATGTGGGACGCTGCCACAGCATGGCTTGACAAGTGGTACGTAGGTCCACACCTGGGATCTGAACTGGGGAACCCTGGGCCGCCAAAGTGGAACATGTGAACTTAACCCCTGCACCACCCGGCCGGCCCCAACACATATTTATTGAGAACTGCTCTGTGCTAAGCACTGTTCTAAGTGCTTGGATGTGTCAGTAAACAAAACAAAGATCCCTGCCCTCAGGGAGTCACATTCTGGCTGAGGGAGAAAGATAATAAACAACAAAATAATTGAATTATGGACATGTTAGAAAGTGATGAGAAATATGGAGTGAAAGGAAAAGTAGAGCGGAATAAGAAAGGGAAGTAGGAGTTCAGGGTAGGTGAGGGGGCAAGTTCCCTATTAAAATAGGGTGGTCAGGGTGGGCCTCACTGAGAAGGTGACGTGAGCACAACCAGGACAGGGTGAAGGAGTTGGCCGTGGAGACACCTGGGAAGGACATCCCTGGCAGAGGAAACAGCCAGTGCCAAGGTCCTGAGGCAGGAGAGGGTCTGATGTGTTTAAGGAGTAGCAAGGAGGCTAGTGTGGCGTCAGTGGAATGAGGGAGGTAAGGGACAGGCCAGAATGCTTCCCCTGAAATGCTGACCTTTGGACCGAGATGAAGACAGAGACTGGCATGTGAGGAAAGATGGAGCCTGCATGGGGATGAGGATGTAGTTCTGGTAAAACAAGCACAGAGGGCTGGCTGGTCTAGGCTGCCTCACTGGAATGGAGGACGTGGCTGGCGTGGAGCAGGACAGGGAGAGCTGCCCCTCTTCCATTCCCTAGCAATAGGGGTTCCTGTCTGATCTGGAAGCTGAGCTGACCACGCTTGAGCCTCTCTCTGCTGCCTCTCCAACAGGGGAGGCCAGTGGCAACCGTTCCTGCGGTCACCTGTCCTTTCTCTCCCCTGCAGCCTCTTACACCAGTAACTTGGCCTACAGCTTCTACAATCACAAGCTCTATGCTGAGGCCTGTGCCATCTCCGAGCCCTTCTGCCAGCACCTGGGCTTGGCAAAGCCGGGCACCTATCCTGAGGTGCCTCCTGAGAAGGTATGAGGGCAGGGAGGGAGGTTATGTTGGGCGTGGAGAGGGCTTGAGTAGCATGAAAGGGCCTGGCCAGGACCCTGCCTGGGAGTGTTACTAGCTGCCTTTTGGCACCAGTGCCTGGGGCAGTGTTTCCCAGACCACACCTGTACTGTTATTTACTTAATCTTTTTTTTCGATTGACTCACTTTTTATATTTAGCCTTGTCCAAGCCAGTGGTTCTCAACCTGGCCGCATCTTAGAATCACCTGAGTGAACTTAAAAAAAAATTCTAATGTTTGCCCCAGACTCATTGCGTCAGAAACTCTGGCACTAGAGCCTGGGCCTCTGGGTATTTAAAAAGCTTCCCCGGTGGTCCTTTGGGCAACGAGAGTGAGAACCGAGAGCTAGCAAAAGTACTCACAAAATGATGACTTGGCTGGACTGGCAGGCAAGATGGGTCCTAGAGGGCCTTGGGTTTCATCCTGAGTGAGGTTGCTGAGCCTCTAAAGGAATAAAGTGGAGGCGTGAGACCAGATTGGCATCTTGGGTTTCTCTGGCATCACTGTGGTGAATGAACAGGGTGCAAGGACAGTATAGGCGCCCAGGCCACTCCAGGAGCCTAGGCAGGAAAGGGTGGGTGTCTGAACTGAAGCAGCTTCCCGAGGGATGGAAAGAGTGGATGGCTGCAAGAAGTCAAGGATTAATCTGGTAGGTGACTGGCTGTGAGGGAGGGAGAAGGGAGAGTCAAGGATGGTCTTGCGTTTCTGACTCAGGAGAAGGCGCTGGTTTGCTGAGAGAATGACAGGAGGAGGAGCAAGTTTTCAGGGGTGTGGACGATGAATATGTGGGGTGGTGGATTGAAGTCTCAGGTTGAGAGCACGAGGTATTTAGTTCATAGGTGTCTTCTGCCTGGGGTGGGGTGGGGCAGGAGGGCCCCTGCCCACCCCCACTGGCTGGTGTATGTACCTGTGCATGCACCCACTCCCCACCGGACAGACGCACTGGTTCATCGCTCCACTTTGGTCTGTTCCCCTTCTCTGGTCAGTTGCACAGGTGCTTCCGGCTGCATGTAGAGAGTCTGAAGAAACTGGGTAAACAGGCCCAGGGCTGCAAGATGGTGACTTTGTGGCTGGCAGCCCTGCAGCTCTGTGGCCCCAAACACATGGCTGAGCCAGTCACCTTCTGGGTGCGGGTCAAGATGGATGCAGCCAGAGCTGGAGACAAGGAGCTACAGCTGCGGTGAGTTGGTGGGGCGGGAGACAGCCATGTTTGGCCCATAGCTGGGCTGGCTTTTTGTGCTCGTGGTCATGTTCATCCTCGTGTCTGAAAAAGGCAGTGGTTCTTCCATCCATCGTTACTCATTGAGTGCTTACTATGTGCCAGCCACTGTGTGAGGTCCTGAGGGAACAGTGGCGACAGGCAGTGTTCTTGCTCTCATGACTGGAAACTTAACTGCGCTCTCAGCGAGCCGAGGCTGGGACTCCTTGGCCTGAGCAGAGGCTCTGTGCTTCACACGCTCCCCTAGTGCCGAGCCTGCCCTTTCTCAGGACTCTGCGAGACAGCCTGAGCGGCTGGGACCCGGAGACCCTGGCCCTCCTGCTCAGGGAGGAGCTGCAGGCCTACAAGGCAGTGCGGGCCGACACGGGACAGGAGCGGTTCAACGTCATCTGTGACCTGCTGGAGCTGAGCCCTGAGGAGACACCGGCTGGGGCCTGGGCTCGAGCCACCCACCTGGTGGAGCTGGCTCAGGTGCTCTGCTACCACGACTTTGCCCAGCAGACCGACTGGTGAGCGGGAATAGCTAGGGAGGCCACTCTTACTTCTTGTCCTAGGTCCTCTCACCTTTTTTGGAGTCTTATTTCCCTTTCCACGTCCTGGAGCACCCCCTTCAGTTTGTGGCCCTGGGAGCTCACTGCAAGTGTGAGGCCTGCTGTCCTGCAGAAGGCCCACTTGAGTGCATCCTCTCCCCACAGCTCTGCCCTGGATGCTATCCGGGAGGCCCTGCAGCTTCTGGAGTCTGTGAGGCCCGAGGCCCAGGCCAAGGATCGGCTTCTGGATGATAAAGCACAGGCCCTGCTGTGGCTCTACATCTGTACCCTGGAGGCCAAAATGCAAGAAGTGAGTGTGGCTGCTGTGGCGGCAGAGCAGAACCGGGGGCGGGGGTTGTTTTCCCCAGGCCCCCAGTAAACTGCTACCAGCCCTGGTTTTGACCCTGATTTCCCCATCCAGGGTATCGAGCAGGATCGGAGAACCCAGGCCCCGAGTAATCTGGAAGACTTTGAAGTCAATGACCTGAACTACGAAGATAAACTCCAGGAGGATCGTTTCCTATATAGTAACATTGCCTTCAACCTGGCTGCAGATGCTGGTGAGGGCCGTGAACGTGGTGTGGTGGGATAGTCTCCTCTGTGGCTTCCTAAGAGCAGAACGGGGACCTCAGGTGTGGGGGAGGCTCGCCCCGCAGGATGGGAGGTGGGCACAAAGGGCAGCGGGTGTTAGGGAGAAGGCTGCATTCTCCCCAGATGGTCCACGCTGAGAGAATGGCTAGTCCCTTTCTTCTGATTCACAGCTCAGTCCAAATGCCTGGACCAAGCCCTGGCCCTGTGGAAGGAGGTGCTCACGAAGCGGCAGGCCCCCGCTGTGCGGTGTCTCCAGCAGACAGCAGCCTCGCTGCAGATTCTAGCGGCCCTCTATCAGCTGGGGGCAAAGGTAAGGGAGGAGGGCAGTGACGCAGTGGAGGCCAGCTCCTTCACCTTCTCTGGCCTGTGTACCTGCCAAAAAGCCATGTAACCCAGTGTGGGCTCTGTCACCCATCTCCCTGAGTTTACATCCGAGCTCCAGCATTTGTTAGCACATGGCCTTAGGCAGGTTACTCAACCTTCGAAGCCCGAGCTTTCTTATCTCTAGAATGAAGGTAGTAACACCGTTCCCTCAGAGCGCTTTCAGCATTCAGTGAGGGGATGCGTGGAAGACGTGTGTAAACAGAATACTCAAAACTTAGCTATAATTATTGTTAGTTACTAGATGATATGAGACCTATAAACTCAGAAAAATACATAAATGCCTAAAGACACAATTTTACATTTTCACATGAAATGTTTCACAGTCTCTGAAGCTCTTCCCTGGACCCCACGTTAGGATCCTCCAAAAAAGAACCGTGCACACAGAGGATCTTTGTTACCATGGGCCATTAGGCCATATTTCTAGCGTGGGGACCTGGGAAGCTGCCTCGGCCCTGGATGTGAGTCTTGGCTCTACCACAGCCCTGTTATATGAACTTAAATGAGCAACTTAACCTATGTGCATCTTAGTTTCCTCACCTGTAAAACTGGGATGAGAGTTGCTATGAAATAAAGTGAGGTGATGCACGTAAACCTCTTGGCGCAGTGTCTGGCACACAGTAGGCACTCAGTAAATCCTGGCTCTTGATGATGACTGGCATTTGGGCTTTAAGACAGGAGGGGTAGGATGGTTTGCAGGCTCCCTAACTGCTCTCCTCTCAGGCTCCCTGAGAAGGGCTGCTGGCTGCTCTGTCTGGGTAGCCACATTCCATCCCAGCCCTGAGGTGAGACCAAGGTCCCGAGGGGTGGGGAGTGGAGGGTGGAAGTAGAGGCTCGAGCAGAAGCCAAGTAAGCTTGCTGCTTCTGGCTCACCAGCCCCTGCAGGCTCTGGAAGTCCTCCTGCTTGTACGGATCGTCTCCCAGAGACTGGAGGACCACGCAAAGGCAGCTGGCTCCTCCTGCCACATCACCCAGCTCCTCCTGACGCTCGGCTGTCCCAGCTATGCCCAGGTGAGTGCCCAGCCAGCCTAGCCTGGGGACGTCAGGGGGGACCTGGCTTTAGTGGCCCATCTTTTCTCTGAGAAGATAGGATACTAGATGGGATAGGATAGGATACTCTCCCTTCTCCCGCCGCATTCGGCTGGAGGATTGTAAAGTGGGGCATGGTTGGGAGGCAGCCGTGAGAAGAGGAGGCATCTTTCTCCTCCACGCTGCAAAACCAACTGTCCATGATGTCTTACAGATTCTGCACCAGGAATATACGACTAATCCTGTATTTCCCATCCATTTCTGGTGCCCTCATGGATGCTTTTCACTCAGTTAGGACTGTTACAGTGTCTGCTAGCTGGTCTCCTTGCCTCCGGTTTCTCTCTTTTCCACCTCGTCCTCTGACTACTATTAGTAATACATTATCTTTTTAGGCACAGATCTGATCTGATCTCTTTCCTGCTTAAAGGATTTCCTTGGCTTCTCTGATACCTGAATGATGCTGTCCAGACGCTTACTCTGCACTGCACCCTTCTGTATTCTGGTTCACACATTTTCCTGCTGCTCCCTGCCGCCAGCCTTCTGCCAGTCTGTACCGGTGCCTTTATATTCCTTGTATGCGCCTGTCTGCCTTTGGTCGTGTCAGTTCCTCCACACCAAGTGCATCCTCTCCTCCCTTCTTTTTTTTTTTTTCATTTGGCAAACCTGTACTTTCTTTTTAAGGCCTAGCTCAATGGTCCCCCCCTTCACAAAGCATTTTATACATCCTCTTCTTCAAGGGCAGAATCAGCCACTTTCCCTGGGTCCCCAGACCACCGTGGCATTGTGTCATGATGACATAGGTGTGCCTGCACCCCCATGGCATTGAAAGCTTTTGGATACAAGGTCCTGCTTACTCTTTATTCAGCTTTGTCTTTCTAGCGTAGTGGTTAACTGAAAGGTACCAAATGATCATTTTAGTGAGTGAGTGAATGACTCCTGTGTAGATTATAATATTTAAAATAATGTAATACTTAGTTGGATGTGTTCAGCATTTTGTTTGTGAATGCTTTCATCTCAAGAGTCTGGCTGCTTCTCACCAGCATACTCATGCACCCCCGATTCCTTCTTTAGTTACACCTGAAAGAGGCAGAATCAAGTCTAAAGCTTCTGGATCACACCACTGACGCCTACCAGCTCCTCTCCCTGACCCGCGACCTACTGCAAAGTCAACTTTACTGTGCCCACCAGAAGGTATTTCTCACCTTCTTAATCCCCGAAGCTTCTGGGTATTGGAAGGATTTTAGGATATTCTAGATGTTTGTCTGGCTTCTGAGACTTCCCTGGAGCTGGGAAGAATATTCCTGACCCTGGGAGGCAGTGCTTTGCCCTGGCCCTGCCCTCTCCAATGACTTGTTCACCAGTGCGCCTCTCATAGAGATACTGTCCTTTTCACTCTTTTCCAGTTTCCTCAGGGGCAAGGGGGAGAGTCTTTCCTGTGACTAGAACTGGGACAACACCAGAACCCTAAACTGGAAATCCAGTGAGAGCCAAAAGACCTGAGTTTTCTCATAAACTCGCTGTGTGCCTTGGCTGAGTCCTGTGCCCTCTCAGGCTCTAATTTTCTCTGCAGCTTGTATCATTCTTAAAAGCGGGGGATTGGGCCGGATGGTCTCCAGGGGCATCTCCAGGTCTGAACTGCCAATCTGACTTCATCACTGCTCTCCTCTGGCCCCCTCCCCCTCCCAGGTGACTGAGGGCGCCTCTCTGTTGCTGTGTGTGCTTCGAGACCCTGCCCTCCAGAGGTCCTCCAAGGCCTGGTACTTGCTCCGTGTCCAGGCCCTGCAGCTGGTAGCAGTCTACCTTAGCCTCCCAGCAGACAGCCTGTCCGCCTCCCTGGGGGAGCAGCTCTGTGCCCAAGGTGAAAGATTAGGGTGCTTGGCCCTCCTTGGTCGATGTGTGCAGTTTGTGCGCTATCAGCTCTTCTCAGCTCTTGTCCCCTCTGCTCTCCAGCTGCATGGACCAGCCTACCTAGCAGCTGCACAGAGTAGGCCTGGGAGAGCAAATGAGTTTCAGTTTGCCTGCTGACTCTAATCGATTGCTTAGTGATGCCTGGAATACTAAACTGACAAGGATTCTGAGACCCCATGTGGTCTCAGGGGAAAGAGTTCTGTGATTGATTAGCTCTGTCTGCCTTAGCTGTACAAGGAGAAGAGTGGAAGCATGCTTTGCGTTTGCTATCTTAGTAGGTGCAGGTGGTGGAAGTTCTGGCCACATCATCTCCCTCTTTGTACCCCCCCCTCACCTGCACAGGCTGGCAGACACCTGAGATAGCACTCATCGACTCCCATAAGCTCCTCCGAAGCATCATCCTCCTGCTCATGGGCAGTGATGTGCTCTCGATTCAAAAAGCAGCAGTGGAGACACCATTTCTGGACTATGGTGAGTCTGAGGAGGAGAGCAAGGGGGAATGAACAGGGTAGATGGTGGGGCTGGCAGTTTTGTCTCCAGAGGATCCAGGCTATGACTGAGTGATGCTGGTCGTGTCTCTCTCCTTTGCTACAGGTGAAAATCTGATACAAAAATGGCAGGTTCTTACAGAGGTGCTGAGCTGCTCGGAGAAGCTGGTCTCCCGCCTGGGCCGCCTGGGCAGTGTGAGCGAAGCCAAGGCTTTTTGCTTGGAGGCCCTGAAACTTACAACGAAGCTACAGATTCCGCGCCAGTGAGTACAGGGCCCAAAAGGATGCTGATTCCAGACGCCCTTGACCATGGGTTCCCAAACTATTCCACAGATGAACATGTTACATTCGGAGGGGTTTGTGGAAGAATGCCTTCCATGGCTAAATCAGTGGGAAATGCTGAGTTAATCAAGGTTAAACATTTTTATTTCATATAGGACTTCTCATGTCCTCCAATATGCTAATATGCATAAATCTTCAAAAGGGGGATCTATGATACAGCGTTTCCCTAAATCTCTTTGCCCACAGGATCCTATTTCTGAGGAACGCAGTTTGGAAAATCCTGTCCTCATACAAGGATGAGTTGATTTGAGAGGGAGCATAGAGGGTTTTCTCCAGGGAGCCTTGAAGTCAGCTTTAGGAAGTAAAGGCCTTTTGGAGGCTGGGAAAGACTGTGATGGCTCTGTCTAGGAAAGGGGCAAAAAGAAGGACTCTCCAGGAAGACAAAGGATTCCACCAATTGGTTGTTGTCTCCTCTCCCAACAAGGTGTGCCCTATTCCTGGTGCTAAAGGGGGAGCTGGAGCTGGCGCGCAATGACGTCGACCTCTGTCAGGCGGACCTGCAGCAGGTTCTCTTCTTGCTTGAGTCTTGCACAGGTGAGCAGCCGCGCCCCAACGCCCATGGGCGGTGGTGAGAGTGACACACACGCCACACACATCTTTGTATGCCAAAGGTTTGGTTCCCTTCTAATCAGAGACTTACTTCTGGTCCCAGGGCAAAGCTCTCTTTACTTCAGTCAGACCATTGGTGTCCCTCTTTCAGGTGGCCTGTCCAGGACTAACCCTACCTAGTTCTAGTTTTCATTGCTAATACACTTTGGCTATTTAAATTTAAATTTAATTTAAATAAAATTTAAAATTCAGTTCCTTAGTCATTTGCCACATTCTGCATGCTCAGTAGCCACACTAACTACGTGTGGCTACTGTATTGCACAGCACAAATGTAGTGTCCTCAAGAGGGCCTAAGCAAATAATAAAATGCTGTATTTATGGTACTTTTTTTCCTTGTCAACCACCTTTCCCTCTAGTATTTCATTTGACCCACACAAAACCCTGGAAAGTAAGGTAGGAATATAGATTTTTTTCTTTTATAAAATGAAAAAGTTGAGATAGTCAGTGTTTTTGGCCAGAATCATGGGGCCGTCAGAGGCAGGATCCAGGATTAGGACTTCAGCCTCCTTGGGGCCTGAACCGTGGCTGAGTGGTTAAGTTCACCCACTCCTCTTCGCGCCACGGGGCCAGCCCCAACTCTGATTTTTTGAATACAGTGTTTATCAATTCTAAGTGCTAGAAAAATTTTATTCCACTATAAGTCTGGTAATCTATTATCCTTTCTCAAAGTTCATGCAATAACAGGACTTAAAAATGGCATTGAGGGGCCGGCCCTGTGGCCGAGTGGTTGGGTTCACGCGCTCTGCTTCAGCGGCCCAGGGTTTCATCAGTTCGGATCCTGGGTGCGGACATGGCACCGCTCATCAAGCCACGCTGAGGTGGCGTCCCACATGCCGCAACTAGAAGGACCCACAACTAAGAATATACAACTATGTACCAGGGGACTTTGGGGAGAAAACGGAAAAAAATGAAATCTTTAAAAAAAAAAAAATGGCATTGATCCAGTATATATATACTGAAAAGTTTTAATCTCACTCAAGTTTTAAAAGGTTTACAAGCTTGTTTTTAACCTGATCTACAGTGCCAGATGATGAAAAAATGTTTTGAAATAAATTATTATTAAAAAAATGAAAAATTTTGGAGTTACTCATTTCTCCAGGTTTGTAATTCTTGTTCCGTTCTCTCCCCAGAGTTTGATGGACTAGCCCAGCGCCCGGACTCTGGGAAGAAGGTCCACCTGCAAAAGCGGAAGCAGCCGGCCCGCGGCCCGCGGCCTCCGGAGCTCCCGGAGGAGGAGCCCTTCCTGAGAGGCCCTGCCCTGGAGCTGGTGGCCACTGTGGCCAAGGAGCCTGGCCCCATAGCACCTTCTACTAACTCCTCCCCTGTCCTGAAAATGAAGCCCCAGCCCAGCCCCGGCTTCCTGACCCATTCGCCCACCTGTGACTGCTCGCTCTGTGCCAACCCTGTCCTCTCAGCAGTCTGTCTGCGTTGGGCGTTGGTCACAGCAGGGGTGAGGCTGGCCATGGGCCATGAGGCCCAGGGTCTGGATCTGCTGCAGGTCGTGCTGAAGGGTTGCCCTGCAGCCACTGAGCGCCTCACCCAAGCTCTGCAAGCTTCCCTGAGTCACAAAGCACCCCCTTCCCCTGTCCCGAGCCACTTGAATGAGCTCTTCGCTCAGGCATACACACAGCTAGCACTGGAGGGGCTGAGTCGGCCATCAAATAAGAGCCTGGGGAAGGTCCTGGAGTCAGGGCTGAAGTTTGTGGCAGCGCAGATACCTCACCTGGAGCCCTGGCGAGCCAGCCTGCTCTTGATTCGGGCCCTTGCAAAGCTGGCTGGCCTCAGCTCCTGTACTACCCAACTCTTTGCAAGCTCCTGGGGCTGGCAGCCACCATTGGTAAAGGACCCCCCAGGCTCAGAGCCCTCTAAGCCTCGGAGCCAAAAGCATTCTGGACGAGGGCGCCAGCAGGCTGTCTCTGCGACCCCGCCCCTCCATAATACCTCTCTGAAAGGTCTGGAAGGTAGAGGACCACCCTGTACACCTAAGCCCCCAGGCCGGATCAGGCAGGCCGGCCCTCGTGTCCCTTTCACCGTGTTTGAGGAAGTCTTCCCTACACAGAGCAAGCCTGAGGTTCCCAAGGCCCCCAGAGTACAACAGAGGGTCCAGACGCGCCTCAAGGTGAGCTAGGACTGTGGCTAGGTGGGGGTGTCGGGTAGGGGTGGTCCTGGAGAGGTTCTGCAGAGCAGGTGTCTCTGTGGAATAGCTTCCCGGGGCCTGGTGGGGCCTTCAGCTCCTTGGCTATCTGTAGGATCCAGAGGCCCTTGTGATGGTGCCTCCACAGCGCCACCTGCTGGCAACTGATGTCTTGTCACTGAAGGCCCGCGGCCCTTCTCCCTTTCCCACCCATCACAGGTGAACTTCAGTGATGACAGTGACTTGGAAGACTTTGTCTCAGTTGAGGGACGGCTTGCAGAGGGGCCCAAGAGACGAGGTACTGCTTCCCGGGGCCGGGGCCGCGCTAGGAAAGGCCCAAGCTCGAAGACCGATGCGGTGGCTGCCCCAGGTAGTGCCCCTGGGCACCCTGGCCTCAGTGGCAGGAGCCGGAGGACCAAGACGGTTGCCTCAGGACATTGTGAGGAGCTGGGCCCTGAGATCATGAGGACCATCCCTGAAGAGGAACTGACTGACAACCAGATGGAAATGAGCTTTGAGATCCTCAGGGGCTCTGATGGGGAAGACTCAGCCTCAGGTATGATGGCAAGGGTGGGGGATAGAAGGTGCATGTGTCTTGGGGGGATTTCCCTGGGGCCAAAGCACAAGAAATGACTGGTGCAAAAGACAGTACAGAAAGAAAGTTCTTTTGCTGGCTCTGGACCTGGATCCTTGAAGGGAGAACCAAGGGGGTGGCAGGAGGAGGGAACTCCACAGAAAAGTCATGTTCTCTCCCCAGGTGGGAAGGCAGCAGCGCCAGGGCCTGATACGGCCATAGGAGAATGTGAGGTGTTGAGACGGGATGCCAGCAAAGAGGAGCTGCCCGTCCCGTGCCCAGACAAGGAGAGAGACAAGGATCTGGGTCCTCGGCTCCGACTCCCCTCAGCCCCTGCAGCCATCGGTGAATATGCTGACCACCGAGCTCTCGTCACTTGGAGAGGGCTGAGTCTTTGGTCTCTTGATCCCAGTGCCTTTCCAGTCTGTCCTTGGTTCTGGCTTTGGATCCCCATCTGGATCCGGTCGCCTTTGAACCTGGGTTACAATCCCAGCACACTCTCCACTAGCTGTGTGCAAGTCACTCAGCCTCTCTGAGCTTCTATTTTCTTTTTCTTTGTGTGTGTGTGTATGTGTGTGTGTGTGAGTAAGATGGTCCCTGAGCTAACATCTGTTGCCAATCTTCCTCTTTTTACTTGAGGTAAATTGTCCCTGAGCTAACATCTGTGCCAGTCTTCCTCTATTTTGTATGTGGGATGCCGCCACAGCATGGCTTGATGAGCAGTGTGTAGGTCCACACCCCGGATCCAAACCTGTGAACCCCAGGCCACTGAAGCGGAGCGTGCGAACTTAACCACTACACCCTTGGGGCCAGCCCCTGAGCTTCTATTTTCTTAACTGTAAAATAAGGTTTGGGGAGGACGGAGTGAGTTGATGCATGTAAACTGCATAGCGCCCCACTTAGCACACTGCCCTTCATAAATGCTAGCTGCCATTTCCCTAGCGCACAGTGAGAGAGGGACTCCTTGGGAAGCTGCTGTCAGCTGGGAAATAGGGGATTCACTGCAGCAAGTGTCTTGACCTTCCTCCAGGTCTCTCTACCCTGGATTCCATCTGTGACTCACTGAGCATTGCCTTCCGTGGGATCAGTCACTGCCCTCCCAGTACACTCTATGCTCACCTCTGCCGCTTCCTGGCCCTGTGCCTGGGCCACCGAGATCCCTATGCCACTGCCTTCCTTGTCACGGAGTCTGTCTCCATCACCTGTCGCCACCAGCTGCTCACCCACCTCCACAGGCGGCTCAGGTGAGTACCCACCATCCCCAAAGCTCATGCTGGGGCAGACTGAAGGGAGAGTCTGGACTCTATAGGAGGGAGACCTCACCCCTTCCTGTGTTGCCTGCAGCAAGTCCCAGAAGCACCGAGGATCGCCCGATGTGGCAGACCAGCTGCAGGGGCTGAGCCTCCAGGAGAGGCCCGGAGACGTCCCCCTGGCCCGCATCCAGCGCCTCTTTTCCTTCAGACTTTCGGGATCTGGCCACTTCCCCCAGCCCGAGAGGGAGAGTTTCCAGGAGTGCCTGGCTCTGATCCCCAGTGGTAGGTGGCAGTCTTCGGCTGGTGTGGCTGTCCTTTTGCACGTCTTCGTACTGAGGAGTTGGGTGAAGGTGTTGAAGGCATCAGTTAGTTCACACAGGTTTCTGGTCCTTATGGAAGGACATGTCATACCTTTTTATTGATTAGGCATTTTGTTACCAAACAGACATACCCTAAATCTGGAAGTCTCTCTTCTTTTAACCTCAACTTTGAGTTACCAACAAATTCAGTGTCTTTCTTTAAGAGTAAGTTCAGGTGTCTGGGGTCTTCCTACACTAACATGAAACAGGTTCACAGGTGACGTGAGTGCCTCGCTCTGTGCAGGGTGCTTTGTTAGTTCCTGTGAGGGACACAAAGAAGTACAAGACGTAGTCTCTGTCCATAGGGAGCTGTTAGGGCAGGGGAGAGCACCTTGCACTCCAGTGACCAGGGAAGACTTCTTGGAGTTGTCTTGAGTGATGGATAGGGACTGAGTGCAGAAGACAGGGAAGGGAATTCCTTGTGACAGCTGACATGATTCTGAGTCTGTCCTGTGTGTCAGGGGTGACTGTGTGTGTGTTGGCCCTGGCCACCCTCCAGCCTGGAACTGTGGGCAACACCCTCCTGCTGACCCGGCTGGAAAAAGACAATCCCCCAGTCACTGTGCAGATCCCCACTGCCCAGGGCAAGGTAGGTGTCCTGGGCCAGGGAGCAAAGTTGGGCTGGGGTGGGCTTCTGGTCAAGCTGCTCGCCTTCCGTGGCTAGGGGTGGAGAGATAGTGATCATGTGGATGAGTAGATATCTCATAGCCCTGTCTCCCAAAGCTGCCTCTGAGTTCGGCCCTGAAAGAGTTTGATGCCATCCAGAAGGAACAGAAAGAGAACAGCAGCTGTACTGACAAACGAGAATGGTGGACAGGGCGGCTAGAACTGGACCACAGGATGGAGGTGTGTGCCCCTGGTGGGTGGGGTCAGGCTGCCCTAGGAACAACCCTGGGTGCCAGCATCCTCTCTCAGGGGTCCTGGCTCAGTGCTGAGCCACCTCCAGTCCTTTCTGGAAGTGTAGGCCTAAATAAAAAACTATATCACTTGGAAGGACTTTAGACAACAGCCCAGAACTTGAAGGGGTTATGGCAATGGGATGTTTAGAGATACACACAAGAAGGATTGAAGCCCGTGTCAGCTTCATGGCTTTAGCTTTCATTGCCCACCTGGTCATATTTGTCAAAACATAGTGATATGTAATCAACTGTCTCGTCTGTATTCCCCCAGAGTCTCAGCAAATGAAACACGTTTCTAGCTTCTTGCCTTTTATGACAGGCAGAAAGATATGCAAGACAAGACACACACTGGAAAACCCATTTCCTCCTCTCCAAGTGTCGGTGCTGTGGGACAGAAACTCGGTTCCCTCTGACTGAAGCTTCTGTCCTTCCACATTCAGGTTCTCATCACCTCGCTGGAGAAGTCTGTGCTGGGCTGCTGGAGGGGGCTGTTGCTGCCATCCAGTCAGGACCCCGGCCCTGCCCAGGAGGCCTCCCGCCTACAAGAGTTGTTGCAGGGATGTGGCTGGAAATATCCTGACCCCACTCTGCTGAAAGTAAGTTGAGGAGTCAGGGAAGGGCAAGAAGCTCGACTTCCCACGGCTGCTGTGAGTGGAGCTGGAGCCACGGCACTCACTGACCGCTGTGCCCCTGCAGATCATGCTCAGTGCTGCCGGTACACTCACCTCTCAGGACGTGCAGGCCCTGGCCTACGGGCTGTGCCCAGCCCAGCCAGAGCGAGCCCAGGAGCTCCTGACGGAGGCCATAGGACATCTACAGGGTCAGACAGTAGCGAGCAATAGCCACCTTGTCTTAGTGCTAGACAAGGTAAGGAGCTGGAGCCCGAGGGGCAGTGTCTGGTGGGCAGTGGGCACACACTCACCCCCACGCCCCTTCTGACTCCTGCCTATCCCTGGCTAGGGACAGTAACCTCTGAGTGCTTTTTGCCCAGGACCTGCAGAAGCTGCCATGGGAGAGCATGCCCAGCCTCCGGGCACTGCCTGTCACTCGGCTGCCCTCCTTCCGATTCCTCCTCAGCTACTCCATCATCAAAGAGGTATGGGGTTCAGGGAGTGGGGACTGGGGGCGACTTGAAGAAAGAAAATGCAGAGAGATCTGGGAAGAAAGGAGAAGCTCTTAGGAACGGATCAGTTGTGGAAGGGTCCTGGAGTTTGCGGGGCTCGGGCCCTCTGGCCAGAATGGGATCCTGATGATCACTGTCTCCTCCTCAGGCTGGGGCCTCGTCAGTGCTGAGCCAAGGGGTGGATCCACACAGTACCTTCTATGTCCTGAACCCTCACAATAACCTGTCAAACACTGAGGAGCAATTTCGAGCTCATTTTAGCAGGTTGGGGGGATAAGAGTAAGAAAGGGGGTGGAGAAGGGTGGCGACAACATGTGGGCACCATGTCCTTTTCTCCAGAATCAAATGTTCCAGCCCACCCTCCCCCTAGCATTCCTTCTGCCCTCTTTGCCACATGGCCCCTGTTCTTACTCCTGCCTTTTCCCTGCAGTGAAGCTGGCTGGAAAGGGGTTGTTGGGGAAGTGCCGAGCCCGGAACAGGTGCAGGCAGCCCTGACGGAGCATGACTTATATATGTGAGTGCTCAGGGCAGGCAGGTGGGGAGAGGGGCAGTCCCAGAGGAGGGGGTGTCATCCCGGTGTGCTTTGGGACTTTAGAGCCCCTAGCTGACTCAGGAGGCCTCTGGAAACATAGGAGAGGCCTGGTACTGCTCATTCAGGCTCATCTCACCTCCTTCTGCCTTAGCTATGCAGGCCATGGGGCTGGTGCCCGCTTCCTGGACGGGCAGGCCGTCCTGCGGCTGAGCTGCCGGGCCGTGGCCCTGCTGTTTGGCTGCAGCAGTGCAGCCCTGGCTGTTCATGGCAACCTGGAGGGGGCTGGCATCGTGCTCAAGTATATCATGGCTGGCTGGTGAGTCTTGAGGAGCAAGGCCCATCCTAGGTCCCAACCCCAGGTTCCTTCCCAGGTCTGAACCCTGACTCTTTCCTCTTTTGCGCTCCACCTTCCTCCCATCCTAGTCCCCTGGCATCCCTGGGCCTTTAATCCTTTGCCCTTTCTCTCCTAGTACTATGAGCCCAACGACTTCCTCACTGGCTCAGTCCTCTCTATCCACCCATCACCAGTCAACATGTTTTCCTATGTATTCCATTTTAGAGGCTTTACTCTGTATTTCTTCTCTTTTCCTAGTCCCCTGTTTCTGGGTAACCTCTGGGATGTGACTGACCGTGACATTGACCGCTACACAGAGGCTCTGCTGCAGGGCTGGCTTGGAGCAGGCCCAGGAGCTCCCCTTCTCTACTATGTCAGCCAGGCCCGCCAGGCTCCCCGACTCAAGTATCTTATTGGGGCTGCCCCCGTAGCCTATGGCTTGCCTGTCTTCCTGCAGTGACCCCTTGGAACTGTCCTATCGCTGACTGTTCTACCTCCAAAGTTAGATTTAACCCTTAGGGTAAATATTTTTAAATGATTTTCCCCAGTGTTTTATATGAAATGTTTCCTTTTAACATTAATATAATAAAGATATATTATTTAAATCTTGTTTTGTGTAACTCATCTGAGAACATCTGAAGACACATTGTTGCCCCCCACCCGCCATGTGGTACTATAAACAGATGAGAACAGCTTGCAGAAGTTCAAGTCTGAGAGCCTTGAGGAGAAAGACAAAACCACAGGACGAAGCTGGGCCTGGCTTGGCCTCAGCTGACAAAGATGAAGGACAGAGGGGCATCAAAGTGCCTTATGTGGGGACAGAGGCCCAAGGAAGGGTAGAGATAGACCCATTGAAAGCATCCTGACCAGGTACCATCACGTCTGTCCTGTCTTCCTGCCCTCAGGTGTCTTGCCGGTGACACTAGTTTTAATGCCTGAGTTGCCCCCTACCCCTCCTAAGTGAGTGTTAGAGGTCGTTCCCTCCCCACACACAGCCGTTAGACTCTCCAGGATCCCTCCGTCTAGCACATGGCGAAATACCGTATTGACTAACAAACCTTGTGCCGGACTTGCCGGTTGATCGCGTGCCTCCCCATTGTTATCTCCACCCCCACACTCCTCTGCTTCGTCTGTCCACAGCACCACTTTCACGATGCTACTCCGCCTGACCCAGCACTTCACAGGCTTGTCCCTTATCTGTCAGTCACTGGGTTTATACCACCCACGTGGAGTAGCACGCATTGCTTTGCCAACTTGCGGTTCTGGCCTGAGAACTTTTAAGATTTTTAAGTTCCTGGAGGGCAGGACTCCTGTTTGCCACAACTTCACTACGCTGGGTTCGGGATGTTTTACCAAGAGAACGCACCGCTCTCTTTAAGCCGCGGCGAGTCTCTGAGAGGGTCAGCCCCACCCCGCTTCCAGGACGGGGACCATAGAGATGTCTGGTGCAGTGAGGCCTCCCGGCGCAGCCATCGAGATGCGCAGAGAACGGCTAGAGCGCTGCTCGCTGAGCCGGCTTCCGCTTCGTTAGTCCTCCTTCCTAACATGGCGCAGTCGGTTAACATCACCGAGCTGAACCTGCCGCAGCTAGAAATGCTCAAGAACCAGCTGGACCAGGTGGGGACGGGCCCCAGAGACACCCCTTTCCCGCCTCGCATCCCTCCTTCCCAGGCGTACTCCCTCGCCCCCATTCCTTCCCACTTTGGGAGGCTTTCCTTCCCCGACGAAACCCCATTGGGTCCCAGCACCCGCCGGTCCCGGGCGGTGCCCCCCTCCCGCAGGCCCCTACTCTGACCCTCTTTCCCGTCCTCTGTAGGAAGTGGAGTTCTTGTCCACGTCCATTGCCCAGCTCAAGGTGGTACAGACCAAGTATGTGGAAGCCAAGGACTGTCTGAACGTGCTGAACAAGAGCAACGAGGGTATGGGGTAGGCGCGTGGAGGCAACCTGGGGGTGTGGCGAGCCGGCTGCGTCTCTCGTCCCGCCTCCTAATCCAGTTGTCCTTACCTGAGACAGAAGGCTATCCATTACGTATTGTATACGCCAGATGAGCCCTTTGCATGTTGCCTACCTAGAATTGAAACGTACAGGACGTGCCTCTGCTCCTGTCGCCCGTTTCCGTTCTTTTCATGCTATCTCTGGGCGCTGTGTCACGTTGGAGCTCCTTTTAACATCTTAACGTCGAAGTTGCCAACCTTCCCCAGATGTTTGTCTTAATTGCTTTTACAGGGAAAGAATTACTCGTCCCACTGACGAGTTCTGTATCCTTTCCACAGGAACTGCTACCCTGCCCTCTCCTTTTCTCCTTCCCCTCTCCCCAAAAAGGAGGGGGGTAGTTCTGATTATCCAGAGTGCCCCCATGATTCTGAGAACACTCTTATCGTACACACTTCGTAGTTCTCCTGTCTAACGTGTGGCCAACATCCAGCTAATGCCTTGTGAACAGCAAATGTGTAGAACCGAGGTGTGGTTATTTCCCCTTGCTGTTTGAGGATCTATCTAATACGGGGATAAAACTGGTGGTTTACTTTCACTAATATTAGATATAAGCAATAGAAGAATAAGAGGATATAGAAACAAGGGGATTGGCTCTGTTTATTAATCCTCAGTTTTGGCTTAATTGTGGCTCTTATTCCTAACCTGTTGTTACTAAGAAACCTGGATTGTATACACCTGCTGAGTGTTTTACTTGAGTAAGTTATGACAATAGGGCAGCTGTAGACTGTAGTCTGAGAACTGACAGGCTAAAAGAGAAACACAGAAACTGCAGTGTAATAGGGGTTGGCTAGATAGCACTAAATCCATCAGGAATTAGCTAGTTCATGGTTGAGGGTGCTGAGGGAAACTGAGGCTGGCATCTCACTTTTCATGCTCTACAGCAGTAGGAAAATATCATTGTGTCTAGTCTTTTTGGAGGGCCTTATGAGAAGAATTTTAAGAACTGCTTGGAGGTGGGAGATGGGATCAGGGCAAGAGAGGGTTCCAGCATATGTCATTTTCTTGATAAGGAACCAGCTTCTCTGTCTCTCCCCATTTGGAGTGTTTAGGTATAGTTCTAAGGCCTTCAGATTATTCAGCCCCTGTGCCTTGTAGCTTTTTAGAAAAGAAGGCCAAGCAGGCTAGTGACAGGGACTCATGACTCCTGCTGGGCTAGTTTCCCTTAATACTTGCTTCTCAGATGTATGTCCCTGGGAAGCTACATGATGTGGAACACGTGCTCATCGATGTGGGAACTGGCTACTATGTAGAGAAGGTGAGTGGGAGGAAGCATGTGGTTACTCCTCTGAGCGGGAAAGGAGTTTAGGGGAAGACTAGAGTGTGACATTGGGGTCTTCTCTTAGCTCCTATTCTCCTCTGATCTTGCAGACAGCTGAGGATGCCAAGGACTTCTTCAAGAGGAAGATAGACTTTCTCACCAAGCAAATGGAGAAAATTCAGCCAGCTCTGCAGGAGAAGCATGCCATGAAACAGGGTAAGCTTGGCCTGGGGCACCGCTTGACCCTTCCTACTTCTATGATAGGTAACATGGATTGCAGTGTGAACCATGCCCCTTTACTGGATTAAAACCATGTGTCTTTGGTGTCTTGATGTGTCATTCTCTAGAGTCTGTGCATTACATACCTACTATTTGTAGATTCTTGGATTGGGTACTTGAGAAATTTAGAGTAAGGAAATCCTGTCAAAGCCCGTGTGGAGCTCCTGTTTAATAGGGATGGAATGGGGGAGAAGGTATATGTAAGTGAACACACAGGACAGAAATACAGCCTTAACTAAGCACTAGCAATTGCAGCCCTGGCTGCTGCAAGTTAGAATCATCCAAGGAGTTTGAAAAGAAAGCCTGGGCCCATCCAAACCAACTAAATCAACCTGGCGGTGGGGACGGGGATTCCAGGGCTTAGGGTTTTTCAGAAAGCTCCCCAGGTGATTCTGGTACAGTCAGGATTGAGAACCACTGTTCTAAAGGCAAAAATGTTTTCCACATTATAATTTTCTGGTTATGTCTGACATTTAATACTGTATTTTGTTCATTTTTATATCCCAGTGGTTATATTGACTAATACATCGTAGACTCTAAATTTGTGTTAGTGTGTGTCCCCCACAATGGATCACTATTAAAAGTTTTGTTAACGGTAGCTGGTTGTCTACCTGTCCTTAAACGCCCCTATCACTTTTCCTGACCTCTAGGTTCTCCCCTTTAGCCCCTGACAGGCTCTGACTCTTCTTTTCCACAGCGGTCATGGAGATGATGAGCCAGAAGATTCAGCAGCTCACGGCCCTGGGGGCAACTCAGGCTACCGCCAAGGCCTGAGAGCTTGTTGCCGAAGTGGGACGGGGACCCGCTTCAGGAGCCTGGGACTTTGTGGGCGTGGCTTCCTGGTGGGGGAAAGTGAAGGGTCTTGTGTTTAACGCTAATAAATGTGCCAGCTGGACAGAGTGTCGGTCTTTTCTTGCGGTGGTCGAGAGGGTATGCCCCTCCCGAGAGCCTGATGAACAGGGAGATGCAGCGTTCATCCTGGAGTCTCCCCTCGGGCCGGCGAGGAACCGGGGAGAAATCCCGCGCTGGGCAGCGCACTCTCCCACGGGCTGGTTGCCGTGGGAACGGCTGAGAAGCGGAAGTGGGGCTGCGCGCCCGCTTCCGCTTCCGGGTCGGGACCCTCGCCTGCCCGCGGGGAAGCTGCATGGGCCGCCGCTTCCTGCGCGGGTTGCTGCCTTTGCTGCTCCCGCTTCCTCGGCAGGCCCGGCACCGCATGCTCGGCCCGGAGTCCGTCTCGCCCCCGAAACGACCCCGCAGCCACCTCATGGCACCGCCCCGAATCGGGACGCACAACGGCACCTTCCACTGCGACGAGGCCCTGGCGTGCGCGTTGCTGCGCCTGCTGCCCGAATACCGGGTACGGTCCGCGGAAACGGACCCTGGGGACGCCCCTAACCGGGGCCGTGTGGGGGCTCGGCCGGCCGAGCACCGCTCCTCCCCGCCCCGGCTCCCTTGGCCACCCAATTAATCCCCTTCCCGTGCGACCCCTAGTAGCCCCCTCACTTCCTGTGTCCCCTGCAGGACGCAGAGATTGTGCGGACCCGGGACCCCGAAAAACTGGCTTCTTGTGACATCGTGGTAGACGTGGGTGGCGAGTACGACCCTCAGAGACACCGATATGACCATCACCAGAGGTGGGTTCCCAGATTGCGTGTTTTTAGCTTCCTTGACTTCAGCCGTGCACTGCCGTGGTCCTGTCAGCCGCGGGACTGCCTCATCCTTGAAAGCAAACGCTGGAGTCCCATAGGACTACGGCCCTCCATCCTTCCAGCTCTCCGCCTGCTCTGGACCCATCCACCTGGCCTCGGACCTCCCTGGGTCCTGGCATCTGCCCAGGCCTCCCTTGTCAGTCCCCAGGCCCTTCCCGACTCACCTCCTTCGTTGGCTCAGTCAGGGTTTTCTCCCCCAGCACCCTCGTCACCCCACCTAGTACCCCAGTTGGGATTAATCCATTCATGTGCCCTTGTTGCCCGACCTCAGACTGCGGGACCCACCTGATTGTGGTGGATGGTGACAGTTCAGATGTGTGTGGTCTTCTACTTCGTTTACACTCTTCCATCGGGAAATCTTTA